TCGGGCCGAGAAGAAGCCCGCAAATGCTCTTTTCGTAACAAGCGCCGAAAGCGAACAGGCTGTCCGTGACCTCATCCCTGAAGAGGACAGATCGAAGATCACTAAGATCGAAAAGCTCGGCAAGTACAACCACGTTGTGACATTCCCGGGCGCCGAAGAGGCCAAGGCGGCTATGGACCACCTGCCTATTGAGCTGAAGAAGTCTGGTCCCACTCCCCATGGTCAGCCACGTAAGCCCAACTTCAAGTTTTTTGAGGACCGCGGCACCCGTGCTGTTGGCAATGCCGGGACTTGGCAGTCCAGCACCCGTGGTGGCATCACTACCGGTCAGCGTGGGTACCAGAGCGCCAGTGACAGCGACGGTGGTCGCCGTGGTGGATTCGGTGGCCGCGGCCGCGGCGGCCGTGGCAGTGGCGAGCGAGGCCGCGGTGGTCGTGGAGGAGGTCGGGGTGGCTTCAAGAGCGGCCCAAATGACTCTCCTGCCCCCTCAAGCGACAAGCCCGTCGCATCCGGCGATGCCTGATCGGTGACATTGAAATTCCTGTCTCATATTGTTCCCCCGGCTATCGACGCTGTCTCGATCTTACACACCTGATACTCTAATTCTTTTGTGTCTTTTTTTTTATCTCGTCCCATTTTTTTGCGTTTTTGACTCTGATAGCGCTCAATCTTTTATGTTCTTTGTTCTCAAGTCTGGTCAGGGACAGGACATGAACGCGAATTGCAGCGTTGATCTGGACTCCGAAGTGAGAGACCTTCGGTGAGCTCCAGACAGTGTTCTTTTTTCTTTGTTTGCAGAGGGAGGAATGGATGCAGGAGAACATCATCAAAAAGAAAAAACAGAAAAGAAAAAAAAAGAAACAGAATACACCCTTTACCTCTTTTCTCTTTGTACTTTAGTTTTATGTCCGTGGACCACATCGATACCCTTACAGCTTTCTTCTGGAGTCTGTAGACCTACAAGATTGCTATATGTACTCCGTACTCATTCTCGCATACAAGTCTTCCTATTACCGTATGTTCGATCTAGCTGGCCTGGTAGATATGTGTCAAGTGACAGAGTAGGGAGATCAATTGCACAGATTGTGTACAAAAAAAGAAAAGTACATTGAACATCCTAAAGCAGAGCCATCCTGTCCCGGCTGCAAAGGAAAGTAGTATATCAAGTTCACCATATTCCCTGTCCGTACAATAGGCATGGGAAATGCCATCCCGTTAAAATCTCATGGCCAGTGTGCGACATTGGCCAAGTCCCACGGTGCGGATCAAAACACAGAGTGAAACAATCAAATCGCAATTATTACTGTTGCAAGAGAAAGAGAGAGAGAGAAGAGCATAAATAGGGAAATGTGGGAGTGAAAAGAAAAGAAAAGAAGGAATGTGCTGTCCCCTTGGGACGGGACCCTGATAGATGGCCACTATGGCATTGACAAAAAGATTCGCTTTCAAATCAAATATCCATTGAATTGGATGTTATTTCTCCCCTCCTGTGAGTTTTCCTCTTTATATCCTGTGTTGTATTCATGACGCCGAGAAAGATTCCTCCCATAAATGACAATCGATGATGGGTATGCGTTGAAATCAAAAGAGCGCAGGTATCAATGGGTTGGTGTTGGTCCGTGAGTCGTGAATTAAGCCCGAGTATGAGTTGTGATGAGGGCAGCAGTGATGGTGAGCGTCCTCGAAGCAACCGCTACTTGGCTCGCCCCATAATGTCGTCAACGTCATTCTGGTTCACGACTACACCACCCTCAGAGCATCGGGCCTTGGTGCGAAGCTCAGAGCAGAGATTGTCAACATCGATCTCGCCATTGCGGAATCTTTCCATAGATTGAAGACGATCCCTAGAGAAGAAGAATAAGTCAGTCATCCAAAAGACACATTGTTGAATAGTTATGTGAGCATAGACATACCATATTTTCGTGCATGACAGCATCTGCGATTGGTCTTCACCTGGAACGACCTCATCTTCCTCGAGCTTGCTATCAATCTGGGCAACGAGGTTCTTCTTGGGTGCCGCGTCGGTGGCGACCTCGGACAAGTTGTGGGAGGGACTGCCTAGGTCCGGCAGAGGGAATGCTTCATTGAAGAAAGAGCCGAAATCTTGAGACAGGACAGCCTCCTGGGGCTCTCGCCAGTCACCAAAGAGCACCGGGTCGAACTGGCCGCCATTCTGGTGAGCCAACCAATCAATACCTAGGTCCTGAGAATCCACGCCCTCGGCTGGGCCATCCACTGGGGTTGGCTGGCCGCTTGAAACACTCTGGGAAGTGGATCGAACCGCTGGGATGGGATTTCTGATGTTGCCGCAAGCCATTCCAAGTTGTTCACAGAAGGATTTCTCGCCATCGGTGGTGACATGTCCACCGCAAGAGTCACCGGGTCCAAGTTCACGGTGCTGTCCATCTGGAGGGGTGTTCAGACTTGGTTCTGGGGAAGTGCCATTCGATGACAGTATCTGGCTCTGGTGCGAGTCGGATGAAGACGACGGAGAATTCTCCGAAGTAGAGTTATCATTCGCGGAAGATTTGAAGCCAGGGTAGGCTGCTTTGACGGAAGCGGCGCTGTTGGAAGTTCCGGTGGACTTCGATTTGTTCGACTGGGCAAGTGAGTTCGATCGAGACGAAGGACTGTTCAGACTGTCGCGACCCAAGACACCAGGTGCCTGAGGGATGATGCTATTCGGTTTGGATTGGTCGTTCTTGTTGGCTTGTCCGTTGAAGAGATGACCACCAGGCAAATCGCCGAACTTGGGGAAATCGAATAAAAACTCATTGTTTTGGAGGCCATAGGCCCCCTTGGAATGGGCACTCGGAATGGAATTCGAGCTCATAGCCGATATGGCGTTTCCTGATCCCGAGGCCATCCAGGAAAGGCGCTTTCGGTACTCACGGAGTTCGACCTGCAATCGCTCGACCTGAGCACGCAGCAAGCCATTCTCCTGGTTTGCCATGTCCGATGTCTTCTGCAGCCTTTCCACCGAGTCCTCCAGATCTTTCAAGTGCTTCTCCTTGCGTTCGCGGAAGGCTCGCTGGGCAGCCCGGTTTTGGGCCTTGCGCTTCTGCTCAATTACGTCAGTTCACGACTCTAGTCCCAGCAACTTCCACGTGCAGCAGGATTGGCATACCGTAGTAGGCTCTGAAGTCAGTGGCTTTCTACCAGGCTTCTTGGCCTCACTTTCCCTACGCTTCTTGCCGGTTTCCTCCCCTTCAATGTCCGATTTCCCGTCGAGAGACTTTCGCTTCCCGCCAATATCATAGTCGGCCGATCCCGGTAGGTCACCAATCAGATCGGCGGAACCCGGGAAATCGAAATCAACTTCCGGGGAAAATCCAGGAAAGGGCTTTCATCATCCCCAAACCCGAAATTGTTGGCATGGGCATTGTCAAACCCGCCCGAGGGAGGGGCGCTACGACCATTCGAGGAATTTCCGTTGGGGCTCTGAGAGGACTTGATTTGGGGAGAGCCACTTTGAGGCCTTTGGCTGGGATTGTTGGAAGATAGAGCGGCGAGCAGGAGATCTTGTTGGTTTGGGGAAAGGTAAAGACTTTGCTGGTATCGTTCGTAATCACCCATCGTGGCGGTCTACTTCCAATGGATAGAGGGGCTGACGAGGAGGAAGTGTGACGGAAATTGAATGGGTTTCAATCCAGAGTCCAACCGGGCCTCCCGCCCGTGACAGATATTGATGGATGCCGTAAAACGACGAGGGATGTGAGGATGACTCAATCCTCGCAATATAACTTCACAGCTTGGCCGGATCTGCGAGTGAACAATCTCAACAATCCGATGTTGGATCTTTATCAGTCGCAAGAACCGAAGAACAATAGAATTCCAAATTTGGGGGAGGCGATATTTGGGGGCGATATTGGATATGGAGGGGGAAAAAGGAAGAAGAGGTTCTAGTCACAAGAGGGGCCTGAGGCGAGGACAGATTCCCCGCTAGTCAAATTGCGGTCGAAGTGTGGCTTAGGCAACCACGAGGCTGATATGGACAGATAGAAGGCAAATGGGATTCCAAGATTGAAGACCTGCAGAATGTACGAGAAATGATGAAAGAGAGAGTATGACTGGAGGACTAGAGAGGAGGGGGGGAATGGGCGATCAGGGAAGGGCGGTGAGCGGTTTCGATGATATTATTGGCTGATGACATATTTGCTTTGAAATCAATTTCTCTTCTTTTTTTCCTTCTCCACTTCGAGTAGCTTCTCTTGAGCCCTAAATGACTTTAATCTACTACAACGCATACTATACTAAAGGTACTATAGGGACTACTGTTTCGACGGAATTGGATCTGACTGTGACTCTTCTGACTCATATCTTGACTTGGCATAGGTTCGTTCATACACTCCATGTGTATGGAGTATCGGAAATTGCAATCTGCTTATTCTGTTATGTCTCCGGGGGTCTGGCCCCACGTCCCAATCCCCGGTCCGATATGCTTGAGGGATCAGACCATCTCTAACTAATGACGCCACTTCTCATCCCCATGAAAAAAAAGGGGTTATCTTGGTTATGCATGTCTTTAGATAACATACTCCATAGCTTTAGAGAAATTTAGATGTTAATACCTATATGCATATCCCCATCGATCTGCAGAAAGTGGATTCGGATGTGCTTATCGCAGGTCTATGATGTATGCGATACTGTAGGATAATGACCTTAATGTACCTATTTACATATCACAACAGAACCAAAACATGCCTTCTGATCTAGATATAAAACAAGCTTAATTTACCCATCCCAACATTTAACTAACGCCTTGGCCACATACCAAGCTTACCTAGTACTCTCTCCATGCACGAAGTGGCGCAAAACTGTGCATATACTAAAGGCGGAGTAAAAGGCGGTAATAAAATCCACGTGATCAGATATGAATTTGCCATTTGCGATAATTATTTCTCCGCAACCTTGGAATCCACTCACTTCCTCATACGCGTCCAACTGATCAAGTTCCTTGTATCATTGTCTAACTCGAACAATTCTTCCAATATCTCATCATGGCTGATCTATCTTCCTTGGAGACAGATTTGACGGAATGCAAATCTCAGGTGAGTTGCAAATCAAACCCTCACCATTTCGCCGTGACCCACCACTAACTTAAACCCAATAGATTGAAACTGTCACATTAGGCTTGGAGGTAGACCCTGATAATGTGGAACTAAACAGCCTCAAATCCGAACTCAAAGAATACATTACCGTTCTCCAAACTCAGATTGCCGAACTCAAGCCAACTGCGCCCGCCAAACCAGCTCCCAAGGGCCGATTCAAGGAGGATGGTCCCCCAAAGCCTTCTGAGCAGCCAGAAGCACCTGCTGTAGCTCCTACTCCCCTATCGTTCTCGGTGAACGACACTGTTCTTGCGCGCTGGGTCTCCGGCGATCACGGTTTCTACCCAGCCAAAATTAACTCCATCACTGGCTCATCAACCAACCCAGTGTACCTTGTCACATTCAAGTCATATGCAACTGTGGAAAACTTGACGGCCAAGGATATCCGACCCATCTCTGGCACTGACTCGCGAAAGCGCAAGGCTGATGGAACCCCAGGCAGTTCGGCACCTCCCTCGCCCGCTCTCCCTCACCCCGGTGTCATCTCCGCCGCGGCAGATATCAACCCCGCACTAGCTACCCAGGCTCGCAAGGAACCCAACAAGGCCAGTGATGGACCGGCTCGTCCCGCTAAGATGTCCCGCAAGGTCAAGGCGAACAAGGAGCTCGAAGAAGGCAAGAATAAGTGGAAAGATTTCGCTGCGAAGACCAAGGGCAAGGGCAAGGGTGCGTTCGGCAAAAAGGAGAGCATGTTCCGCACTGGTGAGGGCGTCAATGCACGAGGTATGGATTTCCTATACATTATTCTTCTCGACTCTGTGGATGCTAATTGGTCTTATCTCTTTAGTGGGATTTACAGGTTCGGGACAAACCATGCGCAAGGATCCGACCCGGACCCGCCACGTTTACCAACATACCGATGATGACGGCTATTAGGTGGCATGTTTATGTTGCCAGGCCCGCAATTGTGATGATACCCCTTGATCGGATGGCTTCGGCAAATTTTTTTTTCTCACATGTGACATCTCGTGATATCTCTCTGGGTTCTTCTCATATTTGTTTTCATCGCTAACTGAATCACGGGCGATGCAGACGCAGTGTATTTGTCTCCGTTTTGAGACTCGGAGTTCCTGTCCATAGAAATGCGGTTAAGCTCGGAGTTGGTCATTTCTATGTTTGTATTATTCTTTTTTTTTTTCTTTGAATGAAATCATGAGCATTTCGAAAGGATATCTATCCATGGATATATCTTAGGCCTTTCAACGTAGACTAATCACTATGTACGCTGTTCTCTAGCTAGACATGAACCTATATTTTAAAAATCACTTGGAATTCAACCTCGACCTGGTTCTGCCAAGAAGAGGGAGAGGTCAGTTCTATTCGAGCCACGATAATAGCCAAATCAGTGCCTGACGTTAGCGCCAACTGGAAAGGTACTTGGGCTTTTGTTGCGTGACCCGTGCGGGGGACCAACCTTGGAATGTACCGCACGGCTCCGCCTTCACGTCACTCACTTCCGAAAAGCTTTGCTCTATTACTTACTCTATCGCACCTTCTATCTAGCCATCGAGCTTGAAATACTGGTTTTAATCTAATATTCCACATTGAACCATATCATCCGATTGTCCTTCAAATTCGCACTCCTTGCCGCCAGCTCCTGGGCTCGGCCAGCGACCTTCCCCACACGGACCGATCATTGCATGGCCAACCTTCAGTACTGAAAGCGTCGCCTCCCCAGACGTACTAATTGAAGACTGGTATCAAGGGTCCTTCCCATTACCACACACGATCCTTCCCACAAGATGCGGTTGCCTAGGGCTATCGCTGCCATAGTTGGGCTGGGCTCTTTTGCGCCAACGCTTGTCGGTGCACAGGGCGAAACCAAAATCCACGAAAAGGGCCGTTGTGCTATTCGAGGCCATTGTGGAAAGCAGTCTATTTTCGGGGAGAACTACCCTGTCCCGATAATGACCTGGCGCAACAACCAGAAGACGCGGTGCGCCAGAAGTTGGTAAATCTGTGTGGCAGCAAATGGAGCGAAGGCCCGGTCTGTTGTCTGAGATGAACAGGTAAGTCATCCCGGCCTCCGGTTTCAACAATTTTATCGTGACCGTATTCATTGTTCTATCATGCTGATAAAACCATAGATCGATGCGCTTTCAAGTAACCTCAAACTAGCGGAGGGAATTATCGCATCCTGCCCCGCCTGCCGAGACAACTTCTTCAACATCTTCTGTACCTTTACATGCTCTCCTGACCAGTCACTTTTTGTCAATGTCACCAAGACAGAAGAAAACAGCTCTGGCAAAAGACGCGTGACCGAATTGGATAATGTCTGGTCCGAGGAGTACCAGAGCGGCTTCTTCGATAGCTGCAAGAACGTAAAGAACGGTGCTTCGGGCGGAAAAGCCATCGACTTCATTGGCGGTGGCGCGAAAGACCATACCCATTTCATGAAATTTCTAGGCGATAAGAAGTTTCTGGGAAGCCCGTTCCAGATTAACTATCACACGGAGCCCAGTGGGTCTGACCCGCAAGGAATGAAGGCTTTGTCAATAAAGCCAAAGGCCTGCAATGATGAGGACAAATCATTCCGATGTTCTTGTGTTGACTGCCCGGATGTGTGCCCGGAGCTGCCCGCCATCTCTCCCCACGAGGTATGCCATGTAGGACTGCTACCATGTCTGTCTTTTGCCGTCATACTCGTTTATTCCATCTTTCTCTTGTTTGTCATTGCTCTCGCGAGCTATTTCACATATAAGGAACGCCGGTTCCGCAAACCAGAGCGGGTGCGCTTGCTGCAAGATCCCACTCCCAGCGATGATGAAGACGAAGGGGAAGTCATGCACCGTGGGGGATATATGGAACGGTCACAGGGAGTGTACAAGCTTAACTCCGTGCTATCAGCCTTGTTCCATCGAATTGGTGGTGCTTGTGCGCGGTTCCCAGCAATCACAATATCTGCCAGTGTCATCGGAGTGACGCTACTAAGCCTAGGGTGGCTGAGCTTCACCGTTGAAACGGACCCGGTGCGACTCTGGGTGAGTCCGTCATCTGCAGCCGCCCAGGAGAAAGATTTCTTTGACCAGAGCTTTGGTCCATTCTACCGAGCTGAACAGGCATTCTTGGTGAATAACCGCCCAGAGAACGACTCACGTCCGCTTCTGGACTACGAAACTCTCACCTGGTGGTTTGACGTCGAGTCTCGCGTGCGACGCGTGATCTCACTGGGCCAATCTCTCAACTTCGATGACGTTTGTTTCAAGCCGACCGGAGAAGCCTGTGTCGTGCAGTCGGTCACTGGGTATTTCGGCGGTTCTGTCTCGAACCTTGACCCGGATACATGGAAGGACAGACTCAGCCACTGCACAGAGTCGCCTGGAGACCCTAGCTGTCTCCCGGATTTCTCGCAACCCCTCAAGCCCGAAATGATCCTTGGTGGATATGACGACACAGGGAATGTTCTGGATGCCCAGGCACTCATTGTGACCTGGGTGGTAAACAACTATGCACAGGGAACAGAAGAAGAAGCAAAAGCCATCGATTGGGAAAACACATTCCAGGCCGTTCTCGGGGTAGTCCAAGAAGAGGCTGCCGAACGAGGCCTTCGCGTGTCTTTCAACTCCGAGGTCAGCTTAGAACAGGAACTGAACAAGTCTACCAACACAGATGCGAAGATCGTCGTCATCAGTTATCTGATCATGTTCTTCTACGCCTCAATGGCCCTGGGTTCGGTCACAGTTACCTGGAGGTCTCTGCTGACCAACCCGTCCAATGCTCTTGTCCAGTCTAAATTTACACTGGGGACTGTCGGGATCATCATTGTTTTGATGTCTGTTTCTGCATCAGTCGGGTTGTTCTCGGCAGCGGGCGTCAAGGTGACCTTGATCATTGCTGAAGTTATTCCATTTCTGGTCCTGGCAGTGGGAGTAGACAATATTTTTTTGATCGTGCACGAATTCGAGCGAGTCAATGTTAGCCATCCCGATGAAGAAATCGACGAGCGAGTTGCCCGAGCGGTTAGTCGAATCGGACCTAGCATCTTCTTGTCTGCTTTGACAGAGACGGTGGCTTTTGCCCTGGGCGTCTTTGTTGGTATGCCTGCTGTCAAGAATTTTGCCGCATACGCAGCCGGTGCTGTCTTCATCAACGCCATCCTGCAAATTACCATGTTCATCTCCGTCTTGGCTTTGAACCAGAAACGGGTGCAGAGTCTCCGTGCCGACTGTGTCCCTTGTCTTACTGTACGGAAAGCAAACTCGTTCGGCTTCCCCGAGGAAAGCTTCGACGGACAGGAAGGGGAGAGTGTTTTGCAGGCCTTCGTTCGTCGGGTCTACGCGCCTTTTCTCCTGGATCGTCGTGTGAAAGTTGGCGTTGTCATATTTTTCTTGGGTCTTTTGACTGCCGGTCTTGCTTTTATCCCCGAAGTTCCTCTTGGGTTAGATCAGCGGATTGCGCTTCCTAGCGACTCGTACCTGGTTTCGTATTTCAACGACCTGGATTCATACTTTGACGCGGGGCCTCCGGTCTACTTCGTGACCCGCAATGTGAACATTACCGAACGAAACCACCAACAACAGCTCTGCGGACGGTTCACCACTTGCGATGAGTATTCGCTTTCCTTTATTCTCGAACAAGAGTCTAAACGTCCAGATGTTTCTTATCTTGCTGGCTCTGCCGCTAGCTGGATTGATGATTTCTTTTATTGGTTGAACCCTCAGCAAGACTGTTGCAAAGAAAATGGCAAACTTTGTTTCGAGGATCGCGTTCCTGCCTGGAACATCTCTCTCTCGGGGATGCCAGAAGGCTCTGAATTTGTCCATTATGCCAAAAAATGGATTGAGGCTCCCACCGATGCCTCTTGCCCCCTTGGTGGCAAAGCGCCCTATAGAAATGCTGTGGTCATTGATGACAAGTATAATACGATCAATGCCAGTCATTTCCGAACTAGCCACACGCCCCTTCGGAGCCAGGATGAATTTATCGAGGCATATATTGCAGCTCGCCGGATTGCAGATGGCATCTCACAGGAGCACGACATCGATGTCTTCCCATATTCCAAGTTCTACATCTTCTTTGATCAATACGTTTCCATTGTGCGACTTACCGGTACCCTTCTTGGGTCGGCTGTGGCTATCATCTTCGTCTTGACCTCTGTGATACTGGGGTCCATAGCCACGGGTGCTGTGGTTACAACCACAGTGGTTATGATAGTGGTCGATGTCATTGGCACCATGGCGATCGCCGGTGTCTCCTTGAACGCTGTGTCTCTTGTCAACTTGGTCATTTGTGTGGGCATTGGTGTTGAGTTCTGTGCACACATTGCCCGAGCATTTATGTTCCCCGCTCGACCCATTATGGAGAAGGTGCCCGTCGAGTTCCGTGGTAAGGAAGCTCGAGCATGGGCAGCTTTGGTCAATGTTGGTGGAACTGTCTTCAGCGGTATCACTGTGACAAAACTTCTAGGAGTTTGCGTCCTGGCATTTACTCGGAGCAAGATCTTCGAGATCTACTACTTCCGTGTGTGGCTTGCCCTGGTCATTTTTGCTGCTACCCATGCTCTCATCTTCTTACCAGTGGCTCTCAGTTACTTTGGCGGCGGTGGTATGTGCAAATTGACCCATCACTATTGAACAAATGAACTCTGCTGACAGGATTTAGGTTACTTTGACCCTGCCTCCGACGGTGGCCTAGAGGCCAATCTCGCTTCACGTGGCTACCGCTCATCGCTAGTTCATGATGATTATGACTCTGATGAATATTGATGCCTCGGTTGTTTGGGGCTTTGTTAGTGTGTGGGTCTTCTGGAAATCACCGAATGTACGGCTGCTGGTACATAAAGCACTTGTGAACCGGGGTTATTTCGCTGAAGGACAGTTTGCTCTCCATGGAACAAGATGGATGAAAGAGGAGTTTTTTTGGATCGAAGGTGGTTTTTTTCCCCTTAATTAATGTTCTCTGTTTTTCTCTCAACGTGGGAAATACCTGTACTCTTCTGAGGCATAGAGGTTCTAGCTACAACATACATTAGGTATACGGAGTAGCTGGTATAGTATACTATTATCATGTCCCTGCACACTTTATAACACGAAGCAAATGGTGTGAATGATCGATATAATCAAATCAATAAGATAATATCCCAACATCTCAATACTAATCTCAATATAAAATGAAGTCCAAAAGGAAATCTCTGCCCAAATTCCCGCGTATTGACAATTGTTCCCGCGCTAAACTCAATTAGGAACCAGCCCACTCCCCTAAATTTTTTTTTTCCCTTGTTCTCTTTTCTTTTCTCTTCCCCCACCACTCTCCTTTTTTTTCTCTTCATCTTCCTCTCTCTTTCCTTTTTCCTTCCTGTCAATATTGCTTTGTGATACCCCTTTTGAGTTGTTTGTCTGAGACAGACTGCTCAATCTTTGTTCCTGTGGCCTAAGTCTCTTAGAGACCTGGGGCAACTGAACCCGTCCAAGAAAGAAGAACCAAGGAAAAGAGAATCACCTGAAGATCTTCCTATTTCCCCTTCCATCATGGATCAACAGCGATTCCTGCAGCAGTTGCAGATTATCCTGGATCGTGAGTTCGTCTTGCAACGTCGAAGCCTGTGTTTCGTCTCGCTGACCCCTTCATGTAGCCTCCCAGGGAAACCTTAAGGGGGCCACCGGAGTCTTGCAAAAGGAGTTCTACAACAAGCCCGAATCCCTTGTATTCCTTATCCAGCTCTGCACTAGCCATGATGACCAGAATCTGCGCCAGCTCTCTTCTGTGGAGGCCCGTTCGCTCGTTTCCAAGCACTGGCTGAAGGTTCCCGCCGATCAGAAGCCCCAGATCCGTGAGCAGCTCCTTCGCTCCACCATGGGTGAGAGCTCATCTCTCGTTCAACACTCTATCGCTCAGATCATCTCCGCTATTGCCAAGATCGACTTGAACGACGGCGAGTGGGCTGACCTGCCTAACCTGCTCCTGCAGGCTGGTAACAATGGCAACGCCGCTGAGCGTGCTGTGGCCATCTACATCCTCTTCACCATCTTGGATACTCTCGGTGAAGGCTTTGAGGAGAAGTTCCAGGACCTCTTCAACCTCTTCAACAAGACCATCCGGGACCCCGAGAGTGCCGAAGTTCGTATCAACACACTCATGTCGTTGAGCAAGCTTGGTATGCACCTTGACTCGGAGGAGGATGAGGCTCCCGTCAAGGCCTTCCAAGAGATGGTCCCTGCCATGGTCGCTATCCTCAAGGACTCCATTGAACGGCAGGAGGAGGACCACATCCTGCAGTCTTTCGAAGTCTTCCAGACTCTGCTTGGTTGTGACCCTGCCTTGCTGACTGTCCACCTCAAGGACCTGGTCATCTTGATGAACCAGATCTCTGCCAACACTGAGGTGGATGAGGATGTTCGCACCCAGGCTATCAGCTTCCTGATGCAGACCATCCAGTACCGCAAGCTCAAGGTTCAGGGTATGCGAATTGGCGAGGAACTCACCCGCACTGCTCTCCAAATCGTGACCGAGCTGGGCGATGCCGCTCCTGGTGATGATGACATCACCCCTGCCCGTTCCGCTCTCGGCCTCCTGGACATGCTCTCCCAGAGCCTGCCTCCCAGCCAGGTCGTTGTCCCCTTGCTCCACGCGCTGGGTCAGTACTTCAACAACGCCAACCCTGACTACCGTCGCGCTGGTATCATGGCCCTTGGCATGTGTGTTGAGGGTGCCCCCGACTTCATCAGCACCCAGATGAAGGAGATCTTCCCTATGGTCCTCCAGCTTCTTGCTGATCAGGACCCCAAGGTGCGCCAGGCTTCGTTGCACTCCGTTGCTCGTCTCGCAGAGGACCTCGTTGAAGACCTCAGCTCCGAGCACGCGCGCCTCATGCCCTTGCTCTTCCAGAACTTGGCAAGCGCCATGCAAGAGTACAAGGGCGAGGAGGAAGGCCCTACACTCGATATCATCAAGGCCGGTATCAGTGCCATTGATGCTGTTGTTGATGGTCTGGATGAGAAGGATGTTTCTCCTTACCAGGCCGAGCTTGTTCCTATCCTGCACAACCTTTTCAAGCACCCCGATTTCAAGATCAAGGCCCTTGCTGCCGGTGCACTTGGCTCCCTCGCCTCCTCTGCCGGAGACTCCTTCCTCTCATTCTTCGATGAGTCGATGCATCTCCTCCAGGAGTTCGCTACTGTCAAGGACAGTGAGGACGAACTTGATCTCCGTGCCAGTGTCACCGACTCCATGGGTGAGATGGCCGCCGCTGCTGGTCCCGAGCGTTACCAGCCGTACGTTGAGCCCCTCATGCGCGCCACTGAGGAAGCTCTGCACCTCGGTCACTCCCGTCTCAAGGAGAGCACATACATCTTCTGGGGTGCCATGGCCAAGGTCTACGGCGAGCACTTCGCCCCCCTTCCTTGACGGTGTCGTGAAGGGCCTATACGATTGCATTGAGCAGGACGAGAGTGACCTGGACGTTGACCTTGGCAGTGCTGCTAAGGACCTTGTTGGCCAGGAGGTTACCTTCAATGGCCGCAAGGTCAAGGTCGCAAGTGCCGAAGACGAGGATGACGGTGATATCGAGGATGTTGATCTCGAGGACGAGGATGAGTGGGATGACATTACCGCCACCACTCCTCTCTCACTCGAGAAGGAGATTGCTGTCGAGGTCATCGGTGACCTTGTCACCCACACCCGCAGCGCCTTCCTGCCCTACTTTGAGAAGACCATTGAGCATGTGATGCCCTTGTGTGAGCACCCTTACGAGGGCGTTCGCAAGAGCACCATCAGCACCCTGCACCGCTCGTATGCTATGCTTTTTCGCTATCGCCGAGGAGAATGGCCAGATGCCCAAGTGGCAGCCCGGTCTCCCCTTCAAGTTCAGCCTGCCAAGGAGGTCCAGAAGTTCGGTGAGATTCTCATGACGGCCACTGTCAAGATGTGGACCGAAGAAGATGACCGGTACGTTCCACCCATCTTTGCTTTCTTTCTTTCCCTTGCCCAACCATTTCTATGATGATTTTTTCCGCTTAACCCAGCTCACTTTGATGCGCCAAAGGCGTACTTGATGTAAACGGCGAAGTCTACATTCTGAGATTTACTTCTACCATTGCCTCATTATCTATCACATGTCGATTCAATGCCTTGATTGCTGACCGATAATTAATAGTTCTACTGTGGCCGATATCAACCGCAACATGGCTGAGAACCTGCGCTTCTGCGGTCCTGCGCTCATTGCCAATGAGACCATGCTTCACAATGTGATCCAGATGATCACTGATATCATCACCAAGCAGCACATCTGCCAGGTGGAGTTCGGCCCTGAAGAGGAGACACTTGAGGCTGGTGAGGAAACTTCCGAGTTCGACTGGATCGTTGTCGACACTGCCTTGGACGTTGTCTCTGGCATGGCTGCTGCCATGGGCCAGAGCTTCGCTGAGCTCTGGAAGGTGTTCGAGAAGACCATTCTTCGCTACGCTGGTAGCAGTGAGTCTCTTGAGCGCGCCACTGCTGTCGGCGTTCTCGCTGAGTGCATCAACGGCATGGGTGCCGCCGTGACTCCCTTCACCTCTGTCTTCATGAAGCTGCTCCTTCACCGCCTCGCCGATGAGGACTCTCAGACCAAGTCCAATGCTGCCTATGCCGTTGGTCGCTTGATTCAGCACTCCAACGCTGATGCTGAGATCATCAAGGAGATCCCCACTATCCTCTCCCGCCTCGAGACTTGCCTTCAGATGAACGTCTCGCGTCTGCAGGATAACGCTACCGGCTGTGTCAGCCGCATGATCTTGCGTTACCGCGACAGCGTCCCCATCAAGGACGTTCTGCCTGCCCTCGTCAACATCCTTCCCCTGAAGAACGACTATGAGGAGAACGAGCCTCTGTACCGCATGATCTGCCAGATGTACAAGTGGGAGGATGCCACCATCCGCGAGCTCACCCCCAACCTCCTTCCCGTCTTCCAGGCGGTTCTCACCGGCGATGAAGATCAGCTGGAGGATGAGCGTCGGGCCGAGCTCATTGAGCTTGTCAAGTGGCTGAACCAGATGCAGCCCGGTGCCGCTCCCTGGGTGGAGCAGCTGTAAGCCGACTGCTCTGTTATGGATTGATGAATAAAAAAGGATTTATTTAATGGATAGACGGATGGCTTGGAAGCCTGAGATGACTAGACGATACCCCAGTCACTGCGGCGATGATTGATGAACCCCCTCAAAAGTTGCTGCTGTATATACTGTCAATGACTACATACTTTGATCTTCAACTTTTATTTTTTATTTCTTTCTTTTTGTGTAGAATTGTGTAGAAGTGTTTAGGCTATATACGTACCTGTGCCTTCTTTGTAGTTCCTGTCGTGTCGTACATCACAGTGTCTCAGCTCCGGCGACTGAGATTCACCTCGATACCAGCCTGCCGCATGAAAAAGCTATTATGCGTCATCCAATCCCTCTCCGGGTGAGCCAGCTTGATATCGTACCGTGAAACAATTGTTGCAATCACCTTATACACCTCCAGCAAACCAAAGTGCTTCCCGATACAACTGCGGCTTCCACCACCAAAACTAAGGTCAGCCTTGTTCATCGATAGCAAACGTTCCTGGAACTCGTGTTCGGTCTCGCGTGTCTCATCGCGGAGCCATCTCTCCGGGCGGAACTCTTCGGCATCTTCCCCCCAGATAGACGTATTGCGCCCTACAATATAGGGATTCATGCCCACTATAGCCCCTGCAGGAACGAGGCTTCCATCCGGGAAGGCAAGTCCACCTTCCGGCACGTATCGCTCCAGGAGCATGGCGACACCGGGATGACATCTCATTGATTCCCGTACCACGGCATCTAGGTAAGGGAACTGCTTGGCGGATTTGTAAGATACCACCATGCTTCCAGAAGTATGGTCGTGGGCGGGAATCTCGGTCCTTAGACGCCCCCAGATGTGAGGATGTTTCAAGGACATGTACAATGCCGCGTTAATGGTGACGCTTGTTGTATCGGCCCCTGCAATCATGTTGAGCAGTAGATATGAGATGATTTGTGTGTTATCGACCACGTCTGGGAATTTCTCCTTGGCCTCGATGAATTTGTCCAGGAAGTCGGGCTTGTTGGGATCATGGTAGTCGGTGTCCTTGTTCTGAAGTCGGTCCATGAGGTGCTGGGCTGATATGTTGGCGACGGTTCCGAAGGACGGCGGGCCGATTCGGTGGATGGGATTTTTGTCCAATAAATGATCTAGAATTGGCATTTGTCCCACTATGGAAAAGTAGTCCATGGTGACATTCGCAATGCGTAGGGACTCGTCGAAGTCGCACCCTTTTTCCAGGTATCCAATGGGCTGGCTGAATGTGGCCTTGCCAACCACGTCCCAGGTATCTGGACGATCGATAAGTCCTGGGAAGGATGATGTACAGGGTTCCAACTTACAGTACGCAATCCATTCACCTAGGTCGCACGTTTTAGTTGGGTTGGCTGAATCGATGAATTTCCCCTCCAAGCGTTGGCACAAGTAGGAAATCATATCATCGATATGAGACTCTAGCGGAAGCACCCCAGTCAGGGAATAATATTTTGAGATGGGCCGCTTCATCTGCGCATGCAACTTGGGATTGCACTCGCTGAAGACATTGTAGATGATTTTGCCGTTGTCTTTGACGCTACTGCCATGATAAAACTCGGTCTGTCACACGGGCTATGGTTAATACTAGTAAGTAATAACTGGTAAGAACACACCTTCAGATACTCTGATTTGACATTGTAAATCGTCTTGACCAACTCGGGGATATCCAGGTCGAGCACGTTGGGACCAATGCGCACCACCGGGCCGTACTTCTTATGCAGCTCGTGGATGACCACATGGTACTTTCCCTGACGAACATGTAACATGCGCCATAGATTTGTCCACCCTGAGACATGAGAGGTCAATACGGTACGGGATCCTACTGCCAAATCGATATTTAGAAGGACGGGTAGCCTCACCTGCGAGGAAGGGACCGGGATAACGGCGTAGCGGGGAGAGGAGATATGTCGTCAAATACCAGATCGGCAGGGCTATGAGAAAGCCATACCCAAGCAGAGCGGCATCTTTATCCCCGTAACCAAACATGTAAACGGAAAAGGCGCTCTTTCAATATGGTGTAGGGGTATTTGGCTTGGGGAGTTGGATATCCGTGAACCCGCAAAAATCTGCGATAGACAATAATATTATACAACGTAGACAGCCCGTGCACGTATACCCCTCACAATGCTGATCCCACGTGGCTCCATACAAAAGGGCGAATCAAAGGAAGGTAGGAAGATCCCTTAGACTCCATAATGCTCTAGATGAAGGATTTACCCCAAACGGGTTATCCTCCGGTGACAGTTGTCGAATGGGCTGTCGCAGGGGCCCGAAAAGCACTAAAAGCACAAAAGTACGAGATATGGAGTATGCAATATCCAATCGGGAGTGTCCAATTACCTAGGTAGCTCTTTGGACTCCATAAGCGCTACTATGCTACTACCGGCCGTTTTCAATCTAAACGTTACCGTCTCATGTCCTTGGCTTAATATACAATATAGGCGCATAATTAGGTATTACCCGAATTATAATATAGCAGTGGATGACCCGAATTAGTTAAAATTAGCGCCATAGCGTTGTCGCTGTTTACTATAATCTCATACGGAGTATAAAGGCTAATTTAACCGGCTTGCTGTATCTGAAAGATCCTCAGACTCTATACACAAGTCTATATCATTAAGCTGGGTGCATTTCAATATGGATCTCAATAGATCAGCTTGATTGTGTTCCATCTCCCACAGTTCTATTGTCCGAGTCACACCTTTGGATGTATTTTCGATATCCTCTTCAAATTTGGCAGACCTCTTCCCCCCTATTTAATTGATTATAAAGTATTCACTTATACTACCAGGTTAGTTATATGGAATTCACACTAAAATAAGTCCAAGGGAGATAGGATATAAATCCTGACTTTTGTATGTAATACATATTTATACCTAGGTACGGATGGACAAATGTAGTAAGATACGTATGTTCTAACCTTGGAAGGCCTTATATACCTATATATTCCTGTGATTTCTATTTTGATGTAAAAGAGTGTTCTAACTATTTTACCTACCGATTTAAATCTTTTCCAAGTATGGAAGTTAAGAGGTTTAAGTGGGAACCTTTTACAGATTGAAATATATATATATATATGGCTGCCTGCTGAGCCTTTTTTCACTTTTCTCTTCATTTTCCCCAACCCCCCCACTGCTTTCAGCCCTACAGCCTTGTTTCGTCTTTTGAAGGTATGCTGATTCCTGAATTTTCAATCTTTTTTTTTTCTCCGGACTTGACTAACACTCATAGAAGCCTCTGCCACCATGACCGTCACGTCTGTTTCACTCCCGTTCGACTGCACCCTTCCTTCCAGCTCCGGTAGCTCCATTAAAAAGCCCATCAAATCCGTCTCCAAGCCATGCTTTGGTTGTGACTGCGGCGATGAAGAGTGCGACTGCTGCATATGCACTGTGATGTGAGGCTGTCATCCGTCTCAATCTCGATATGATCTGGGAATCTCGGAGGTGCATGGTCTGAGTACAGGAGGCATCCAGACTAGGAAACCATACGGAGACAGGATCGGGATCCAAGGGGATTGATTGGGACTGCGTTTAATTTTTATTTCCCGTTTTTGATGGTCGGGTATTCATGCGATACCCCCCAACACCAATTGATCTATTGTTCACTCTGTTTTAACATTTTACATGGGCTCAGTAATCATATGTGCACATATACTATAACTAATTGATATACCTGTATAGGTACATACCTACATACCTACATGTACGTATGCAGTCAACCAAGTCTATAATCCTGATTATTACCTGCCTGAGGCATCAGGCTGAATCAGCGGCAATTTTGTCAGCGGCTTTCGGGGGTTCCCACGTGGGCATCTTTGAGGCTTAATTTCCTAACCTCCCCCCCTTGGCGAAATACAATGTATCCTGCATCTAATACGTCTAATGCTTCTGAAGATCAGCCGAGGACACGGACTGCTCGTGCCTGTGATTCGTGCTATAAAAGAAAGGTAGATCCGTTCATCGACTCTTCACGGCGTCGCTAAACTGGTCAGATCAAATGTGATGCTGCGGTTCCGCAGTGTAATTGGTGCAGTCACCATAATATCCCCTGCACATTCGACAGAGTGGTGCAGAGGAAAAGGAAAAACGTCGACGATGAGGGGTGAGTCTGTACCCTCGAGCTTGTTCTTCTATGTGTCTGACGAAAGATAAGACGCCCCAAAGTGTCACGGCTATCGGAGCGAATTAGTCGCATCGAGCAGCTTCTTGCAGAGAACTTAATGAGTGATCAAATCTCAGGTATAGTGTCTGTTCAATATGCGGAGGAGCCATCCCCAGACTAATTGGCAAAAGTGCCTGGAGACTCGCCTCAATCTTTTGAAGCCAACACAACGGCCAGCAGCTCCCCAAGTAACACGCAGCTTCAAGACTCATCGTCAGTGCGAGTTCACTTTGCGGGAAAAGAGCTGGGTGTCATCAGTTTACTCACGGGCACGCCGTTCCTCTTTCCCGAGGGACAGGAATGGATCAAAGCTCGCACCGGACAACCCCTTGCAATTGACAAGCTTTGTCCAGAACGAGCACCTTGGGATAAAGAGCGCGGGCAAACCTTCAACACTGTGCTGATGAACATAAACATGAACACTTGCAATCCCTATGAACTTCCCGACTGGAGAACAGTGCAGGTGTACTTCCAAGCATATAAGAACTCCAAGGTGATGCGGCGCGTCTTTCCCGTTATAGACCCGGATCTTTTTGAGGAAACCATCAAGACAGCTTACAGCCAATCACCATCTACCTTCAGATATGGCCAGGCCAGCGCCAGAGTTTGTGTCATTGCATTTCTGACCTTTGTTTCTCGCCTCCCCGACGTCAAGCGTTTTGTCAGCACGACTGCAGCGACGGCACCAGTTGATCATGATCTACTTGCCACGAAAGCACAGTTCTTTATGCCTCAAGTATTACAAGAGTCTGCCAGTCTGAGACGCAGCGCAGGCTATTACGATATTGGTAAGTGAGCCGCTCTGGTGTAGGATTCCGATAACTGACCGGTGAACAAGACTCTCTTCGAGCTATCTTCGGGAAATATGCGGGCAACCAACTACTATGCGGCGGTTGCTGCGCGGCTCATTTTCATGCTTGGTGGCAATCTCTCTAGTAGTCAGGCCGTCTCAACGGATACCCGCAGCCAGCAAAAGCATTCACAGCTACGGAATCTATTCTGGATTTGCTACACGATTGATAAGGACCTTGCACTGCGCACGGGTCAACCACCTACTATCACTGACGAAAATTGCGATCTGACACTTCCGCCGGGCTATCTCGATCGAGCATTCTTGGACGTGGAAGACCATGAGGCCCCATGGTACGGTCCCGTATTTCCATTCGACTTGCGCCTGAGTATCATCAAAGCCCGAGCGCATCGAGAGCTGTATTCAGTCAGCTCTATGCAGAAATCGGACGCCGAGCTGCTCAAGTCAATCCGAGAACTCGATGACGCGCTAGAGGAATGGCGGCTGTCAGTCCCTCCTAAATGGCGTCCAACCGTGTCCTTTTCTTCCGAGACCTCAGATCCAAATATGGGTATGCACACTGTCATGCTGCGCCTGAACTACCACCTATGCATGACTATCATCCATCAAGCAAGTGGAAGATGCAAGGCGTGGATGCAGGGACAAAGTGGCATGATGGATGGTGTGAGTTCAAGTATGGCACTTTCGGTAGAGGCCAGTCGATCAAGTCTATGTTACCTGGAGGCGGCAGAACATGTGGTAGTCGACGGGGTTTTTTGGTATGTGATTGTCGTGCTAACCCGTGGACAGGAACGCAAAGCTAATCCGTCTCAGGACTCTAATCTTCTACCCCATGTCCGCGCTGCTCACCATCTTCTGCAGTATTCTTCAGAACCCATTGGACCCATATTCGCGCGAGGACTTGGGCCGATTGAATGTCGCCACGGTTATGATTGAGCGCATCTTCTCACGGAAACTGCCCGCAACTGAGCTCGTGCACTTCAAATTGGTCGCCGATTTCATTGTGGAATTGAAGCGATTGGCCGAGTGTGCCATCGACAAGGCCTGGGCGGAGCAGCGTGCTGCGTCTCATTAATTTGCACATTGTTTCCTTCCTATTGATTTAAGGGTCGATATCATTGGCTGCACTTTAGCGTGAGGAGTTTTTGGCTACGGTACTTAGAATAGACGAAGATATTAATATAGATAAAAGAACGGTCATTTGGATGGCATTGGGTAGAGATGGTCAGAGTGGTGTTCAATGGAATGATATCTCATATATGATCCAGCCAGTAGCTGTAAGCAAGAATTCCCGGCAGAAATTCACGAATGTTGCTGGCTTCTCAGGTGAGTGTAATGGGATTCTGATGGAGCCAGTCTCGGATAGTCCAGTGTTTCTGAAACGGGGTGCTGTTGGTGGTATCGGGTCGTTATAACACCGAAGAGTGTCCCAAGATATTGGCGTAGTCTAATATCTGCCTTGGGATGATGCGAGCATTCGACGATTCGACCGACACCCGTGGACATCAGGGTGTCTTATATAACAGGCCAGTGAGCGTGCGTCCCATGAGACGCCTGTGATAAGAGAACCCGAGGGACATTTTGTTGGACGTCGATAAAGCCTCGGTTTGACATTGTTCCGCGTTGGGCTGTTCGCGCTGGGCTGTTCGCGCTGGGCTGTTCGCATTGGACTGTTCGCATTGGACTGTTCGCATTGGACTGTTCGCATTGGACTGTTCGCGTTGGGCTGTTCAAGGACGAGGTTGAGATCAGAAACCGATGTCGGAGTTGCAATCATTCGACTCGGCTCCGAATTAAGGAGAACCAGGCCGTTGTTGGATTCAATTTTCTTTGTCCAGAAGATCCCAGATCAACCGAGAGTGCTCATCGGCCTTTTCTTTCAGCGCCTTGGCCTGGTCGGTGTCGTCGTCTGACCCAGTGGCACCCACGCAGCTGCCCTCCGCTTGCAACTGCTCTAGTACAGCCTCAACCTCCGCCTTGACTTTGTCCATTTGATTCATTTCCTCTCGGCTGTGATTGAGCTGCTCTTCCATCATCATGATGAGTGATTCGCGGGCTTGGTGCGGACGGTAGAGGTTGAGAAGGTGGTGTGCATTGATAAATAAGTTGCGCAGGTCCTCGACCTTGGATTCGAATTGTTCCGGCGACACAGATAAGATGCCGGTAAACTCTAGGAAATTAAGGAGCAGGGACTTGCTGATCTTGAGAAGATAGTATGCATGATTGAGAGGGGGGCGAGGGCTGTGAGTCCTGTTCGGTACCGGCTGCGGGGGGTTCTGGGTAGAGCTGTTCGATTCCTTGCTCTTGTAATGACGGCAATGTTGTAGATAACTATTCCAAAGTCAGTATTGTCAGGTGGGTTCAGATCTAGGTGAACGAACGGTTTGCAATTCGCCAAAGACGCTGTACGGCCCTTTAGGGATGTCGGGAGGCACCAGGTACCGGAGCTCTGAGGGAAGCTCCAGAGCGCGTAATTCAGCTGCTGACCATTGCTTGTTCTTGTGCAACCGTCCATCTTCGCTTTTGGAAGCTTCGGTTTTGATCTCCTCCAGCTTGTCGACATTCTCGCGCGTAAAGTGTTTCCATAAGGGCGGTGGGGGCGCAAATGCCGTGGCCACGGCTCGTTGTTGGCTCTCGTCGGCCATATCAACACGAAAGAGGGGATGTGGGAAAAGAGAGAGAAGAGAGTCAAGTGAGCAGTGAGCAGAGTGGAAGTTCGGGTTAAAGACAGAGCGGAGAGAGTGACGTGGTCTGTGCTTCCGCAATGTGTACGAATGTCAACTTGACCTGTTTCAATCTCGATCTGCTTTCAGTGAAGATCTGAAGATCTCTCTGCAGGCCACAATTGTGTAGGATGCCTCACAATGGTTCGGGGAACGGGTCGACCCCGATTCTACAACGCGTTGGACTCGCTGGTGCTGCAGCTCGCTTTGCGCAACGCACCTATGCCGCCGATTATATCGCATTAGGATTCCTAGTGGCAGGATGGGTACTAGTAAGTCACAAATGATCTAACTCATGGATACAGTTATTTTTAACACATGGATAGATTCAATTATTTGTGAGCCCGTTCCATCGCATGTTTTCGCTGGATAACAGGGCCATTCAGTACCCGTTCGCCGTCCACGAACGGGTTCCTGTTTGTAAGTCGACCGTCAATGATACCGTCTGCTTCTCTTGATTCTAATGAAGAGTAACAGTATGGTCGGTCGTCTTCGCTGGTCTGATTCCTTTCCTGATTATTCTCGCCTGGTCCGCAATGTTTCGCGCCGGTGTGCAAAAGACGCAAGTGACAGTACTTGGGTTATTCGTGGCTTTGATGTTGACCTCATTCCTGACCGATATAATCAAGAATGCGGCGGGAAGACCGCGTCCGGACTTGTTGTCGCGCTGCAAACCCTCCCGGGGTACGTCGAACAATGCGCTGGTCGCATGGACTGTCTGCACAGAATCCAACCAGCATATTCTACAAGAGGGATGGAGGAGCTTCCCTAGCGGGCACAGCAGCTTCTCTTTTGGTGGCCTGGGATATCTATATCTGTAAGTGATTCTCCAAACGCACCGCGCTAGGACGCTCAAGCTAATAATGACCGTGTAGCTTCTTGTGTGGTCAAATGCATGTCTTCCGTCCTCGAACGGACCTTGGACGCTGTTTACTTGCGTTTTTCCCATTACTGTGTGCTTTGATGGTGGCGCTCTCTCGTCTGGCCGATTATCGACATGATGTATATGATGTGACCTGTGGGGGACTCTTAGGCATGCTGATAGCCTGGTTCTCGTACCGACGCTACTATCCACCACTGCGGTCGGTCATGTGCGACGTCCCCTATGACAAAGCTGACATTGCTGGACCCGATGGCTTTGCTAAATTAGGTGATGAGGAGGCTCTTGCACAGCCCTTCATTTCACGGCCTGATCCCTCGGAAAACTATCAGCTCCAGGACACGGAACCATCTCGATAGACCTTGCGCTTATTTTCAGGCATTATAATCATGTCATCTTTCTACCGCGAAGTTCCACTCGCACTATTAGAGGGCCTTTTGCTGCTCGACCCTTGTCTTAAAGTCACCTGAAAGTGAACAGCATCGATTGCTCGCACACGTATTCTAGAATTTTTCTGTATCACATTGCCGAAACGAAAAGCAACTCGACATGAGATCTTGTCAAAATATCGCATTATTCTGGTCTATTGGACTTCTATCATACTCTGCTCACACCCTGTCTATACGGTGTTCTAAAAACCTGGACATGGACCAAGTGAATCAACATCATTGAACCCCATAGCTGACTCGCGAGTTTCCTTGTTTTCTCGAGATCTTCTTGACGGTCACAGGACCACACAGATCTGTCGAATCGACATGTGTACCTCCACAGGGGTACACTTCAGCGCCGACGATGTTGACCACACGAGACTTTTCACCTGCGGGCACCAAACTGCGATCGGGAATCAATCGCTCCAATCCACGCGAGCGGAAATCCTCTTCGTCCCACCATTCGATTTGAACGGGCATCTTCGCGGCGATATATCCATCCAACTTGCTCTGGATTGGGTCCTTCCATTTTCCTTCAATTGAGCCTTGAAACTCGCATGCTGCCGAGTCGGGAAAGTGCGAGGCTTTCAGTTCATCGAAGTTCTCAATCTCTTTTGCCAAAAGATATCGGACTGATGCGCCTAGTACGTGGCCTGCGGTATGCAAACGGGAATATAGTAGACGCTTTTCCACATCAATTGCTTGCTGGACGGTATCACCTTCTTTGAAGGCGGATGGTGAGCCCTCGAAAAGACCGAGGTGAAGCACCTGTCCATTGGCATCTGTGCGAACAGCAGTGACCGTGAAAGCGCTAGACGGGCCTTTTAACACCCCTGTGTCAGAGGGTTGGCCGCCACCTTGGGGATGGAAAATAGTGTGCTCGGTGATAATGACATGGTGTTCCTCGCTGGCGTCTTTGAAGAGTAGACGATTGGATTCTTCGAGATCATTGAAAGGGAAAATGGCCGTCACGGTAGTTTCAAAAGTATGGAGACTGGCATCATGCTGGAAGACCAGAATGGTGCGAGTTGAGGCCATATTGTTGAATATCCGAGCGGAGTTGATGCGGGGAAAAGAGATAAGCCAGATTTTGTTCAATCTAGAATGTCTAGTACTTGGAACTTGACATGATTCTATGTATTAACTGCAAATATTACAAAAATATTACCCAGATGTTCTAGTATACACGCGCAGGATACTTCGGCTTTTAGACCACTTGGATGTGTTGCTACATAGCGAGTAGAAGCAACTCAGTGCTATAGCTATTCCTTACCTTGGCGATCGAACTGCCAATCTTTTCGGTTATTCTTATATCTTAGCGAATGTGCATTTACCTGTTATCTTGTCTATGACTTTATATATCTTTCCTAGGTGGTCGACTTATAAAAGCCCACATTTATCATCCATCTTCATTTATCCCGACTTCTATGGCGGGGTGGATTCCAGTCGGGTCATCCTTCCCGGTTGAACTCGAATAGCTTGACCTTGACCTTGACCTTTTCACTATTTACATCAATCTTATATCAGAATATCATACTCAAATTCACTTCAAATGTCTTTCCGGAAACCTAAAGTCCAAATTCTACTCTCCGTGGACTTCGATGCCGTCTCGGGCTTCCTAGGGACTGGGGCTTCGGCTACAACCAATCTGGCCGATTACAGCAGTGGCTTTTTTGCAGCTCAGGTCGGGGTGCCACGTTTATTGCGCCTCTTTAAGAAACATGGAATTAGTTCCTCGGTGACTTGGTTTGTGCCCGGTCATTCAATGGAATCATTCCCGGAAGAGACCAAAGCAATTGTTCAGTCGGGCGCCGAAATCGGTTGTCATGGATATGCGCACGAGGGCTCGAGCCAAATGACTGAAGCACAGGAGAGAGAGGTCATTGCCAAATGTGTGCAGCTGGCGACCGACTTGACTGGGAAGAAACCTCGAGGATGGAGGGCGCCATTATATCAGTTGCGAACTCACACCATTCGAGTTCTGGAAGAGTTTGGATTTTTATACGGTATACTTTGCTCGCTACCTTAAATATACCAGGAATACTAAATTCAAACCAGATTCGTCTCTGACACATCATGATTCGTCGTTGTACTTTGTCCCTCGAATGTCGGAGCCCAAGGCCATTGACTTTTCGCCTTCCAAGTCTGCGTCTACTTGGATGAAGCCCCTTCCTGTCCCTGCAGCTAGGACTCCCCAAACTCTGGTTGAGATTCCATGCAATTGGTATATGGAGGACATGACTCCCATGCAGTACCTCCCAGGTCTAGAAAATTCACACGGGTTTGTCAGTCCGATCACTATTGAGCAGAATTGGAAATCGCGATTTGAGTTTCTCTACAGCGAGGCCCTGGAAAAATCGATCGAGGAAGATTCTGAGCAAGGCTTTGTTTTTCCTTTGGTGTTGCACCCCGATACCAGTGGAATGGCTCATGTGATTGGGATGATCGACCGAATGATTTCGTGGCTCAAACAGCAAGAGGTTGAATTTGTGACATTTGGCGAGTGTGCTGCAGAATGGAAAAGGAATCAAGCTTAAGCATAGTATACCTTCTGTTGAGCTATATAGTATACCTCCAGGGCTACATAGCAGTTGGAGATTTGGTGGGGCGCTTATCCGCCACTCGCGACCTCCAATTTTCTTTACCAACTTCATCCCATTTGGCCCAGCCTGTTTCATACCATGTGAAGTCTATATATCCCAAAATATCCAAGTTTGGAACTCGTATGCCACGAAGAAAAGCTGCAGACCGCACAGGTCCGGTGAAGACCCGATCTCGCGATGGCTGCAAAGAATGCCGGACGAGTCGTGTCCGATGTGACACCGCAAAGCCTCTTTGCACGCGTTGCCGGGAGAAAGGATTGCCATGCACGAAGAATCTGGTTTTAAAATGGGAATCCGAATTCATCAGTCGTGGAGTGGCCTTTGGACGTGCGGGAGTTTGGAATAAAACTGGCTCAAGTCAACCTACACACGGCTCGCTTTCTTCAGAAATGCATGTGTGGTGCCCAGTGCCAACTATCAGTTCCTGGGGTTTCATAAACAGCGGTGTATCGACATTTGCACACCCAGATGAAGTGAACGTTGACTTCGATGAGCTGAATGCATTGATTTCAGTTGCCGAAGGCTCAAACTCACAAATATGGTCCTGGTTACAACATTTCCCACATCTCAGCGAGCTTACCACCAATCTCAACCCCAGTCTCCCGCCATCTCTTGCGCTATTTCCTGAGCTATCCAAATCTGGGCACGGGGAGCTATTTGATTATTATCTTCAACAAGTGTGCCCTCGCACAACCGCCAGCTCCACATTTTCTTCGCCGTTTGCCTCTGTCATTCTGCCATTCTGTTTATCGGCTTCTCCTACGCTTTTCAAGGCCATTCAAGCATTGGGGGCATGTCACTGGTCAAGGCTCAATCCAAGCTACGGTGCAATCGGCCTGCGTTATAAATCAGAGGCTTTGAGGGACCTTCGTCAACGTCTTTCGTCCGAGGGAAGCTTGACATGCTCCATGGATCCTGAAGTACTGGTTATCATGATTATGCTATGTCTATACGAGATAGTGGACAAGTGTGATCAACAATGGACCATCCATCTCAAAGGCGCCAATGATTTAATCCGACTGCGAGGGAAACAGCAAATGACATTATCGCAGTCAACGGCCCCATCGGATCCAGTGACGAGTTTTGCAGAGCAATTCTTTGCCTTCCAGGATGTCATGGGTCGAACTGCTTGTGCCAAAGAGGTCTTGTTTGGTACCGACTACTGGAAACCAGACGAACGCAACATCGATCTTTGGATGGGATGCAGTCCTGAATTGGTCTCGATCCTGGCCAAGATCACAGATATGAGTCGAACAAGGAGACAACACACGTCTGACGCGGACAAAGCATCGTTCTCACTACGCGCGGCTTCTCTTGAACGCCAACTAGAGAACTTAGTCCAAGAGGTGGGAGAGGGTGACGATGAAATTCTCGCACTGGTTGCAGATGCTAAGCGGTTGGCTGCAATGCTTTACTTACATTGTGCTCTATATGGGGCTGGTCCCACCACACCTTTAGTGAAGAGTTATGTGCGCCAGATTCTGCGACTCATATCGGACCTGCTTGACCGTAAATCGCTGGTCAATGTGACATGGCCAGTCTTTGTGGCAGCTGTTGAGCTTGACCCATCTGATGATGAGCTCTTCCCGGACTCTGCAACGGAAGCAGGGTCGGGACGAGCGATTGTGCTACGTTCCCTGGCAACAATGGCTGATTCAACCATCTCGAACATTGCTCGAACACGGGCAGTGATCACCAAATTATGGCAAACACGCGACTCGGATTTGATCAAGGGAACTGCTCTGCAGAATCATTGCAATGATTGGGAATGGCATGTGGTGCCAATCAGCAATGCCATGAGTCTGGCGTGAGGGCACGGAGAATGAGCATGTGGAATCTCTGTACACTAGTAAGCATTGACTGACCGATAAATTGTAATTTCTTCAATTCAATTGTACATTCATATACACAGAGAAAGTACATCCCGAGGTCCAATATGTATAAGATCACTCACTATGACAGAGGGGCTTGTCCGGATCAGGTTAGCGTAATGTCATCTGATCTCGTTAACCGCTCTGAGCCAGCGACCTGCGATGCAATGTAGACCTGACATGGATGTGAAGACTGTATATCCTGTTATAAACTACAGTGCACGTGCTCCTCGGGCATTACTTGTGGTGTTGACCCCAGTTCTCTACCTCGGTGCCGACGAATGATGCCCTTGGTTGTGCGCCCTTGCTCTGTACCGCTAAATCAGATCAAAAGTGACCTGAATAATGGCGCAGGTGCGACCTCCAGCGCCGGGGCGCAGTACATCGGCCACGGGTTTGAAAGCAAGCTCAGTCAACAATTAGCTCAACCTCATCAGACCGACCTAGAACACCAACTTGAACCGTCGCGCTCTCCCAAGTCGCGCTCCTTATCTGATGCGTCCAGACCTACATCTTCCACCCAACCATCCACTGGTGATCTCAGTCGAGCACCAAGCAAAGACGATAATGCAATACCCGCTCTTCCTGCAACACCTCGAAGATCAAGTGCATCTCATTCGAACCTCTCAATAAACTTGCCTTCCAAACCCGCCGGGTCGCCATCACTTACGAACTGCGCCCCTCTCTCCCCTAAACTTGACCCATCACATATCTACGGATCTCCGGGATCTGTTCTCCCTCGACGATCTCGGGGCCTCGACTTCTCACGCGCATGTACGAACCTACACCATTCCACCCTAGCCGAGTCGTCCCCGGATTCATCGCCCACCGTTGGAGGGCGGGGCATGGCAATACCCCAGCGACGCGGATCCCTTGGAGCGACGTCCGTTCCACCTTTTTCAACGTCGGGTCCAGCGGACCGTACAACAATCTCAAGCTCCATGTCGAGTGTGAATATGATGGAGTCGGACACAAGTAGCAGCGAGGAGGAAGATGAATCTATGGCTGATCGCGACGATGTTATGATCAATACGCCGCAGGCGACCCGCATCAGTGCGCCGAGTCCGTTTGCTAGCAATATGCAAAGCCCGGGTAACGAGTGGATGGGAGGATATTCACAAGCTGCCGCCAGCTTGATGAGTTTCCAACGCGCGCGCTTTCGCAAAGGCCGCAGTCGCCACAGCTCCAGCAGTGCAAGTGGAAACAGCACAAAGCCTAGTCCTACTCCTCACTCTCCGCCCATCATGAAGAGTGTCGAGCACTCCGGTGGTTATTTTGCCCCGCGACAGACTGCGCATTCACGCAGAGAGAGCCTCAGCTTTGGCACACGCGACCTTCGTTTGTCCGATATGAGCGACGATAGTGAGAGTCGCGCGACGCGAAGTGGAAGCCCAATTCCCACTCCACATCCCGAAGGTGGCGGTCCACTGGGAGTAATCCGTCGCGCGGTGACCCGACGTGGGAGCTTACTTGTAAGTTGGTGCATTTCTACTTTCAGTGGCGTAGAAGCTAACTTGCGTGACAGCCTAAGACTAAGACATTTGCGCGCATTCGCGCTGCTCTGATGGAGGAGGGTGCTCCAGTTGATAGCGATATGAAACGAGAAGCAGAAGTGGTCCGGCAGGTCCGCGACACCGAACCTGAATCAACACCTGCACTCGGCGAGTTCCCGTCATTGCAGCCCTCGACCTCGTTGGATTCGACAGTGACAGAAGATCCCGCGGCCAAAGCGGGAATGGATACAGCATCTTCGGATACCTTTGGCAAGCAAGCCAGTCGCAACTCGGGCGGCGCCGAGTTTTGGAACTCGTTTGATGGACGATACAGAACCCCGCCCCGGCTCGCCAGGAGGTCCCTCTATAGCAGATGAGGATATGTTTATGGATATGACTCCGTCCACGACCATGGGCTCTGTTACTGCGGAATCCTTCAAGCAGCGTTCCCGCTCTTCCACCCCCCCATGCCCCGGGTATGCCAAATATTGGAGAGATCTGTCGCAAGCGGCGTCGTGACGATGACTTCGATCCTAATCTTTTCAAGCGCCGGGCTGTCTCGCCCAGTGTGAGTGTCCAGAGCAGTCCAGTCATGACTCACTCCAACAATGTCAGTGATATGGGCCCCAACATCTGGGGCCCGCCGCCAAAGCCGGGCCTCGGTGCACCGTTCTCCGAACGACTCAGTTCCGAATCAGGCAATCGAACGACCTCTCATGCTGGAGGTGTGAAACGCGTCGGCCTGCAAGGGATGACCGAAGCCAGCGATGGCTTTATGAATATGAGCATTGATTGAAAGGAGCTTTTTGAATCTGTGATGCGGAATTTGATATTCTTGTTATGCGCTCTCGGGGTTACGGGCATTGTGTTTTCTCTGTGAGGGTTTTCAAGAGCATGGTGTTATTTGGGTATGGATGTTTTCAAGCAAGATACACATTTGTAATTCCAGCGAGTTTTCAGATACCTCATGGCATATTATTTTCAATGTTTTTGAACCATTCCACTTTACAGAATGTTGATGTCTACATGTCTATTCGTACATAGTTCTGGTATAGTCGGCCACGTGCTTATCGCTCTCCGCCTCCGACAGCTCTTCTCTCCGCAGAGACTCCAGACCCTCACCACTTCCAAGCTCCAGTATTACCCAAGGATTTCAATTGCGCTTGAACCTCTTGTTCAATATCTAATACCTTGATCATATTTTCGCCATGGCTTCCACTGTTGAACTGGCATCCTCCTTCATTGAGGGTGCCCCGCCCGGAGAGGTATGCACGTCAACAATGAGCCAGGAACCCCCATTCCCTTGGTCATCGTCCGTTATGAGCTTAGGGATGATTACTGACATGTTTTTCTTCAGCTCGCAGATGTCGTCGCCGGTAAATCGCCCTCTTAGCGCTACGCTGCCTGTCCCGATCCCCGCAACTCCAACACTTGCACGAACGGTGATACTGATCCCCACTACTTGATTAGATGTGCAAGCCTTGACTGAAGGCGAGGATATTATTCCTTCCCTTCTGCCTGCATTCAAGCGATACAACGAGGCGCAGCTCGCAACGGTGAAATTGCCGGGATCAAGTCAGGAGGTGGGTTCCGCTCGAGAGCGGTCTATGTCTGCAGTGAAGCTGACAACATTTGTTGGGAAGGTCATTGTTAGTGGGTTTAACGAGCTCGAAGACAACCGCTACTTCGACCCGGAGAGCCAAACCTCGTTCGAGGTCGACCACACCACACAGGTAGGTTTCAGCTGACCAACTGGGGTGGTGCATTGAAGGCTTACGGGATCTGAACGATGGTAACAGACTGCCTCTGCGGCACAATCATACGCATTGGAGTCAGAGCACGCGGACTTGATGTAAGGAATGATGTTGAAGTCTTGGTGGTATTCCGCTTACCGTGTTTAGCAAATCGCTGCTCAAATCGTTCGGTGTTCATGCCCGTGAACACTACCCCAACTGCTCATATGGTGTCTACCCTATTGAGAATGACACTGTCATTGCCATCGTCTTGGTTGCCAACCGATACTCCCCAACAACTTCTGGTGAGTGATTACACTCTCTACAATCAACACTTTGGGTGGAAACTAATCGTCATGGACGCTTCCCTGCCTGGGGAGGATTGTCTGTATATCACAATAGGAACGGTCGTTTCCGCGCGATTTACCAACTTCCCGTCTCCTCCTCGTCCTCTACCCTGACTGGCAACATCCACGTCGACGTGCACTACTACGAAGATGGCAATGTGGCCCTCAACACTACTAAGCCTGTCAACATTTCCATCCCCTCCGTATCCGCCGAGTCGATTGTCTCGCGTATTGCTGCGGCGGAGCGCGATTACCAGGAAGCGCTGAACCGGGCTTTCGTTCAGACATCCGAGGGCGTGTTCAAGGGTCTCCGGAGGCAGCTTCCCATTACACGACAGAAAGTGGAGTGGGAGAAGGTCGGCGGATATCGTCTGGGCCAGGATATCTCGGGCGGCAAAGGACGGTAGAGCAGACTTGGAAATATTGTCGAGTGGGTGGTTTGATGAACCTGCTCGCGGTCAATAGCTGATGGACTGATATATCCCTACTATTTTTCAAGCATTGTCTCATTTTGCGTGTCAGTTGATTTATTCTCATGGTTTGCGAAGATAATCTGTAATTTGTTTTTGTAGTGCTGGACCTGTCATATACCCCAACACACAACTACCAGCCAACCTCTTGTCACACTCAGAGTTACCCCGGATAAACGACTACGAACGATAATTAATACCTGACTATATGCAAAGTAATTCATATGCATACAGATCTTCGAATATGCGAAGGCTGAATAAGCAAAATTACTAGTGCAGGTGAGATTAGCCCGCCTCCAAGCCTTTGACACACAATCCCCCACCCCCATCCCTGAAGAGTATATTGTCCCCAGAGCTCGTAGCAGTGCTGTGACGATGATCCAACAATTTTCTCGCTTTGTGAAGTCGGGCGCTGGTCTCGAAAAGACCCTTCGTCTGATCCAATGCGTGTCGCAGGTCGTCGCTGCGCTCACCGTGAGCAGTGCCCTGGCCGTGCAATTGACCACGGTCAAGTTGCAATTGGCATCGGGTAAGTTGATTTCCACATCTGATGGATAGCCATATCGCCCGGTTGATCGTTGTATATGCTGATTTTGGATTTATTGTGTAGCGCGGAGATATTTCCGCTTCTTTGGGTTTATTGACTCCTTCCAGCGGATGTCCCAATTGCTGGGCAAGGATGGCTTCGGTTCTGTGGCTGGGATGCTTGAACTAGCTAAATGCACTTGTTTTGGCCTCTACTTTGTCCTGGAAGACCTGACCACGGTATGTTATCTATCGCCTTTTCCCTTCGGTGAATAGGACTGACGAAGGGATAGCTTCATGCAATGGGTGTTTACGCAGTGCCCTGGAATGACCGTGTTATGGACCAAGCAAATACTTTCTGGTTCTATGCGCTCTGTTTCTCTGTTGTCGGAGCTATGTGGGCGCTGCTTGTCGGTCCCGCGGAGCAGCCTTCGAAGAAGAATGGCAAGAAAAAGAACCAGAAGACCGCCTCGGAGAAGGCTACTCCTGTCGAACCGACTGCTGCCTCTGCCTGGGTCAGGCAGATCGTTGTGGATGGCTGTGATCTGCTCATCCCGCTGGAGCTTCTGGGCTGGATGCCCACTGGGGACGTGGTGGTTGGATCGACCATGGTGTTGAGTACACTGCTGACTGCTCAAGAGATCTGGGCCCGAGTGTGATTGGGATGTAGATATAGTCGTATTGGTGTCAGCTGATAGACATAGACCTTAATAGATCATGCCAACATAAGAGAGACGGCCATGAGCTGGATAAAAAGAAAGCCCACACCAACCACAGATACAATGCAATTGAGGATGGACATGGCAAAAGCAAAAAGAATGGACTCGCGGGGAATCGAACCCCGGACCACTCCCATGCTAAGGGAGTATTATACCACTAAACCACAAGCCCAGTTCGATGGAAGAGACTGCCCATTAGTGACTGAAGAGTGGAAACCAATAATGGAGGGGTATGTGCGGACCTTAGCCAAAAGGGTGTGTGACTCCACCAATAAAGCGCCAGTAATGTTGGGAGTGGATCCTGCTCGTCCCGGGATACCCCATTAGGAATGGAGTCGGCATCAACAGATCGGAGATTGGAGATCGAAGCCACTGTAGTTTTCTGCATTCGTGGTGCGAGGTGCTTCTTTCTTTTTGCACATTGAAAGTGTACGGCATCAGCAGACCCGAGATTGAAGTCATTGTAGTCTCCTGCATTCGTGGCACAGGCTATTTCTTTGAATGGAAAGGAGTTTGGAACTTCTCGCCGAGATTGGTCTGAAAGATCCGAGGTAAGTCGACTTAGAGCGGCTGTGTTGTAGTGGTTCCATCTGTCAGGTGGTGGCAGTTCACCTTGGAGACTGACAGACATTATCGCGACAACCAGGATAGATGTTTCTCGCCCCATTGTGGACCGTAAGACCGTATCTTTTGCATTGGGATACATTGATCCATTGGGCCGATTATTGCAACCAATTTTGGAACGCTGATCGGAGAATTGCATAGCCCCACTGCCCAGTGTGAGAAGATGCGGGCTATGCGAGGCTCAGCAAGTCCATGTATCAGCACGAAAAGTAGCGAATGGAAGAATAAAGCTACTTAGGTATTGATATCTGACGTCATGGGAACACGAGTGCCAAGAAATGGAATAAAGTTCGTTTGAACCCATGGATCGACTTGACAACTCAGCGCCCAAATAGGAAAGTCTCGTATTGAAGAAGACAGTATATATACACTTATACAAGGACACTGCTGATGCCACTGAGATAGAGTAGTTATTCAGAGTCATTCAGAGAGTCAGAGCCAAATCACCTTGACAATGACCACAACCATTCTGGATCCTAAGACAAAGGAAATGGAGATTCACTCCTCAGCCTTGTCTCTGAGATCTAACAGTACTCTAAGCACGCTCATCGAGAGTCCATCCTCTTTTTATCCATCACGCATTTTAACCATCAATGCGCAAGGCATTCGAGCCTTTCGTCTCCCACTGCCATCCCGCCAAACCGAGATCTTCATCTACAACCCAGATGGCACCGAGGCGTACGTCTCCACGCGCGACAAACTTTGCTCAGGTAATGCGATCCTGTCTCACCCAGAGCGCGGAAGTCTCATACGGACTGAATACTTCTTCGGTCCGGGCCGTGATCCCGTGGTACACCTGCTTCAACCTTCCAGTGACATTTCCGAGGAACTGAGTGTCACTGGGAAATGGGCCTCCCGCACAATGCGCTTTGGTATGCCTGGTGGTAAAGAGTTCGAATGGGAATATGCCAAGGGAAAAAGGGCAGATGGGCAGAAAGTCAATTTGATTGTTTTTCATGCAGTGGAAGAAGAGAAGGGCAAGAGTAAAGAGACTCGGGGCCATAGGATTGCACAGCTAGTTCGAGGAGAGGATTCTCGGACGCCCGGCACATCGCGATCTTCTGCGGGCAATGGGGGTGAATTGCAGATTGATGAAGCTGCATTACAGTCCCTGGAACTGGATGAAGCGGTTATTGTTGCAACTTGTTTGATGATGTTGAAGAAAGAGATTGACCGACGTAGACTGATTCAATTTGCGTTGATCGCGGGAGCTGGTGGTAGTTGAGATTTATGGAAAGGTTGGAGTGTCTGTGTATTTTAGTTCTCTCAACGCTAGTATCTATTTTCTATTTTCTATCGGATATTTGGATATCTTCTTTTCGAAACTTTATACCAAGTCCTCCAATTGTTTGGGGGGCCAGCCCCTCAATTGGTCTTCTCGTTCAACAATTCGGAGATGTGGTCATTAAGCCAGTACCCGTTCAGCTTGTCGGACATGTTCTTGGCTCCGGAGATCCAGCCTCTGCAGATCCCGTCCCTGCCCCGCAGGTACACTGGAATGCCTGGTCCATGTCCCACTCGGTGCTGGGGTAGAAGAAGGTGAGGGCATCGCCTGCCTTCAAAGGACGGTCGTCCACGACGCGCACCTCCATGCGGCCCATGTCGAAAACCAATGATGGCGCGCATGAGTGGTTGCAGTAGACTGAGGTCGGAGTTGAGTTCGATGTGGGTGTCGCGGCCGGTTTGCACACTTGTGTAGGCTTTCTTTCCGGGAGTTGCCGTAGTGATCTTGGCGAAGAGGGCACCCGCGGGGAGGTCAACGAGAGAATAAGCTCCGCTTGCGAATGCTTTCGTACTGCGTTCAACACGCAGACAGTCGGGATGGGTCGGAGGAGGGAAGTTGGCAAAGGCGGGCGTCACGGGAATGGGATCGGCGGATGGGGCCATATTGACGGAGAGATGGAGAAGGGTATAATAGGAGGATATGAGGGTAGGATAGGAGAAATAGGAGAACAGGAGAACGGGATATGAGGTGAATGAAAAGGAAGGGGAAATACCTGGGGCTTTTATTGGGGTAGAGATGTACAGATGTAGACAACATCCCACATTGTTCCCTTCAACCGAGGTCTTTCCGCTCGGAAGACCGAGGCACAGGCCTCTGAAACGAAATTAATTGTCTCAAAATAAAGAGTCTTTATGTATTTATGTAGATATTTAAACAATTTAGACTCGTGAACGTGGACCTTTAGCCGGTGATCGTACGCATTCGTCATTCGGTGAGCCTCCACATGCAGAACAAGCCCACATTCTCGGCTTCATTCTCGAAATGGTAAGGGACTGGGGTAAAATGGACTCTGCAGTCTACGTCAGCAATTGAATTATTTAAGAAAAAGTCGAAACCGTCCCACAATTCTTGTTCGTAGAGTCCGACGGAATGTTCACCACCTATTTTCACCTTCTAATGTTGAACTCGGTTTATTTCCTATTTACACATGTATTGTACATCAGTTCATCTTACGTAGTAGCTCCTGTCCATTTAACCACCGCTCCATATTCTCAGCTGTTTCGCGATACCATCCCCGCAATAGCTCCTCCTCTCCATATCCCATGTGGGGTGAAAGCAGAACTTCACTGCGTCCATCTTGGCCCCAGGGAGTAGTACGCCAAGGGCTATCGAGAGGTAATGGCTCCGGGTCAAAGACATCTAATGCGGCGCCACGGATGCGGCCCGCATTCAAGGCCTCGAGGAGGGCCTGCTCCTCAATTAAGGGCCCACGCGAAGTATTGATGATAAATGCAGACGATCGCATATTTGCTATTTCAGCCGCCCCAATGATCCCACGGCTTCGATCCGATAGCACACTGTGTACACTAACGATATCGGCATGTGCAAAGAATTCCTCTTTAGATGTAGCAACGGCAAATGTCCCCGCTGGCAGACCCTGAGCGTGGGCTTGCTCGTCCGCCTTTTCCTGTGTCAAATTTGTTGACCATGCGAGAACTTTCATCCCAAACGCCAGAGTGCCAATATTTCCTACTTGTGACCCGAGTTTCCCCAAGCCAAGCAGTCCCAGTGTCTTTCCGGACAAGTTGACCCCAAGGGAGCCTTGCCATGCACCGCGTTTGACCGCTGCATCGTCGCGTGCTATATTTCGAGCAAGCCCCAATATCAAAGCCCACGTATGCTGAACGGTCGAATTCACACCGGGTGGGCGGCCCTCGGTACCTGCGACGGCCACATTGGAACGTGTAAATGCCTCGAGATCTAGCGCCAGGTTGCGGGTACCCGTGGTCAAAAGGAGTTTTAAATTTGGGAGGGCGGCAATTGTCTTGGCTGCGAAAGGTGTCCGCTCGCGCATTGCTAAGATAATATCGAAGGGAAGGAGTCGTTGGACAAGAGCAGCATGTTGTGCTGGATCGCGGGGGTGGAGGGTCTCGGGGAAACTGGAAATTTCAACTCGCGACTCGAGATGAGTAAAATAGGCCGGTGCAATGCACTGGTAATCGTCAAGGATTGCAAACTTGAGCCGAGCCATTACCCGTGGACAAAGATGAACATATGAGAGAGGAGAGGGCAAGGGTATCGGGGGGAGCAAGAAATTCCTGGGGAAATGACGTCGGCAGTTTGTTTATCCACTCAACTATTACCTACCTACCTATGTGGGTAGTAAACATACGATTTGATTTAACTATAACATTGCCAGGCATTGAGCTAGTATACGCTAAACCTATCCTTTGGTAAATGTACATACACCTGCACATATTCATCCAAAAGTAGATCTAGAATATTGCACCCCCTATTGTGAAACTGGATCCCTCATCATCAGGAAAAAGGACTCTTGCCCAACACCACCAAATTGTTTATAATCCATAACTACCTCCTCTAATATCTTCCATCCGTGCTTGAGGTAAACGGGGACACCCTCGGGCGTACCCTCAAGGAAGATACGTGACTGGGAGGCATCTGCTTTTTCCATGCCCCATTTCAAGACAGCAGAACCAAACCCTCGCCCTTGATATTCCGGCAGGGTGGCTAGCAGATCGAGGACTAGTGAACCGTTTAAGCCAAAAAGAACCCCTGTCGGGAATATGAGAGCAACTTACTAATATCGTTCTCTGTCGTATATCGCTTGCGACTCTCCCTAGGAGCTTTTTGAAGGCATTAAAAACACCCTTGTTCATTTGTTGGGGTGCATGTGGAATGGGGTCCTTGGCCAAAAACACTGCTTTTTCACTTAGAGGAACCAGACTCGGACCAAATGATGCTGGAAATTGCCAACGGCTGTAGGTCGCCAGCTCCCCACTGACGGGATCATGGATCTTGAGGACGTGCATATTGGGGTTGGCAAGATGTTTCATTCCCACAACTATTTTGTATTCCTGCACTCTACTCAGGGTGGCTCCTGGAAAGACTTCTTGGAGGTAACGGCGGCCTTGAAAGCTTTGCACGTTGACTTTGGCAAGTCCTGGTCCATCGGGCTCGGTGGCATATTTGATGAGATCCATGATTCTTTCCATAGAAAAAGGATGATAATGGGAAACAAAGGATACAGAGAATATCCTTGGAATCTCGAAGAAGATATGCCTAGCCCTGGAGTGAGTCAAGGGACACTAATCCCCTTTGGTTCCCCGTTCCCTCGGATTTCCCCCTCATTCAGCTCAACTTCGATTTTTAAGATGGAAATAATTCCATAAGAATATTGTTTTCTATAGTACAGACTGCGATCCTTATTTCTAATCCTTTCGCTTTCTAATTTCCAGCTTTGCATCTGGATCACTCAGCATTTCAAACCCCATCTCCACGATCTTGGGTGTTATCCCTTCAGGGATCCTGACATCATAAGTCAAAAGAATCTTCGCCAGAGCAATCTTGACTTCATTGCTAGCGAAGAATCTCCCAGGACAAATTGGCTTTCCAATTCCAAAAGCAATGTGCTCTGGGCTCGTGGATGCTAGTGCTGCCGCAGTATTGCCGGATTTGCGAAGACGAAGAAAACGGTAGGCGTCATAAGAGAATGGATCAGGGTACACTGCTGGATCCCACATCATGGATGCATCAACGGCAACATTCGTTCCGCGAGGGATAGTCATTCCGTTGGGAAGAATAACATCTTGCAGGGCTTTTCGCTCAAGATTTACTGTGGGAGAGTGAGTCTACTATCTTGAGAGTATTGATGAGTTGGAAGTAGACGCGTACCTAACAACCCCGGTTTGAGCCGTTGTGTTTCCTTTACTGCGCTGTCCAACAGCTGCATCCTGAAGACGCCTGCAGTTGTCCATCCACTCTCCTCGATAGCTTTCTGTGCTTCATCTCGTAGAACCGGGATCAGGTCTGGATGCATACAAATATCCAGTAGGGACTGCTTGAGTAGCTCTGAAGTCGTGTGCATTGCGCTTATCGCAAATGCGATTTGCGCTGCAGCGGCATCATAGGGGCGTCCGGCAGCGGTTTCTTCAAGCCACTGTATAGTATCCTCGAACTTTTCTATCTTACCAGGCTCAATGGATTGAGACTGCCCATACCCCCTGCGGTCGAAGATTGGCTGCAACATAGCCCGAGCAAGACGAATTTGCTGACGGCACTTTCTGAGTTCTGGTAAGAACCAATGAACCAATGGACGAAGAAAAGCCGGCAAGGCGCGGAGAGATCGAATCCCCATAAAGGTATTTATCGACGAAGTGAGAATTAGCTCTTGCCACTTAGGATCACGAGCTAATTCAGGACCAACAAAGACAGATGCTGACATTCGCCCGATGAAGCGGACTGCGTGTTGAGACCAATCAACGGTGTGCCATTCTGAAGAGTAAGTTAGTCAAGCGTTCTAACCCAGTATATAAAGACCTACCATCGCAATCCGTCCAGATCTCTTCTAGAGCCTCCGTAAGATGTTCATGAAACAGCCCACACTCTGTGACGGAAGGCCATATTAGTGAGACTCCGATGTGAATCATGGGTCTTGAAGCTGTCACGTACGACTGCTCTGATTGTTCAATTTTGTTTTGGTGACATTGATAAGGATCTTCCTGGGATCAGTAACAACTCTCTGACCATCCATCCCGGGGTGTGCCGCAAAATATTGCTGTATGAAATCGTGTCGTCAGTTCCCTTCTCTCATTGGCAAAGACAACCGCAACATACATCGTGGACAAGCGCCTGATGATCTAGATCCGGACAGTTCTTCAGCCACTCTGTATACGATGCTGGGAGAATCACCCGAGAGCCAAGATTGGTTATGATGCGAAATGGGCCGTCAAACTGAAGCATGTACATTAGACGCAGTGTTTTTGTGGGAAAGGAACCCAACTTGCCTTCTGAATTCCTTCTTTGATTAAACCCCTGGCATCTGACATAAACCTTGACTGGGCCTTTTTCAAAGTTATATCACCGGAGTATGAGTTGACGATCGGTATTGTCAGTTCTCCCATCCGGCGCCATGCGAGGACAACAAGGAAGCCCAAGAGGGCTGTCGACAGAAGATAGACGCCGGAAAGGTCTTCCATAAGAAAGCCATCTGAGTGGAAAGCAAGATATGACATTGTTTCTTGAAACTTTTGTCCCCATCAGAAGCAAATTGTCTAGGCAAGGGACCATTTAAGTATGCGATGAGAATATAGATGCGAGTCACGTGCACGTCCCTTTTGAGTGCCCGGGATCCGTCACGATGAATAAGAATGAGTCACTACAACATACATCGTATATTGTATGGCGTCTGGTATATAACGATCAATTCCACTGCCATTCAATGAAAGAGGTAAAAATGGCTGATCTGTATAAGTATCTGCACAAAACAAACCAAAATTCAATGGATACATATCCGTTGTACATCTTTGCGGGAAATTCTCAGGCCAATTGACTACCTTTTAAGCAGCGGACTTGGCAAATGTCTTCAGAGAGGCCTCACTGCCATTCCAAATTTCCGAATCACCTCCGAAGCTATACGCATCCGAGTTCTGCCAGAAGCTCTGGAAAGGCCAGCCACCGGGGATAGTGCCGACCGAAGTGCTGTATCGAGCCAGAACCAACGGGTAGTCCTGACTGAATGCCGTGCTGCCACCAGTGCAGGTGTTCCACCAGTCGGCGGTGGTGTAGATCATAGGGTACCGGCCAGCGGCGCTCTTGTAGGTCTCGCCAAAGTCCTTGATCCAGGAAACCATGGCTGAATGGCTGAGCCCATAGCAGGTTGCGCCGGATGGGTTGTATTCAATGTCCAGCATGCCGGGCAGGGTCAGGCCATCATCAGACCAACCACCACCGTGGGCGATGAAGTACTTGGCTTGCGCGGCACCAGTGCTACTGTCGGGTGGGCAAAGTGATAGCCACCACGGAGCAGACCGGCGCTAGTGGCACCCTGGTATTGGCTCGAGAAAGAGCTAGAGATGAAGCTGGTACCCTCAGTCGCCTGGTATAGTTAGTATTGTGACGGATAACGGATTCGTAGTAACTTTGGGAAAACCCACCTTGATCATGACGAAGCGGGCACCAGCAGCATAAGCACCGGCAAAGTCCACTTTAGGTTGATAGCCAGAAATGTCGAAGCCCTGGACACTGGCGCTGGCAGCGGTGGCGAACAGGAGAGGGAGGGCGTTAATCTTCATGGTGAGATTGCGACTGAGACTGGGATTGTCAATGGAGAGTGTATTGAGTGAATGCAAGTTAACGAGCAAGATTTTGGGAGGGGAATTGGGGGCTTATTTATGGTGTTTTCCAGGCAATGAAGCTTCAATGTAGTTGCAACCTCGGGACCATGAAATCACACGGTCATGCAGTAGCAAAAGGTTGTATAGTGGAAACACGAGGGTCCATTTCTATCATCCCACTTCTGGTATGTACAATGCAGATCAGTTCCTGCATGTTGTTTTGATGTTTCAATAGACTGGTCCATATAGCATCCGGGGAGGTTCCATGGCCCAAGGGATTTGGTGTATGTATGAGGAAAAGTGCCCACCAAATTGATTAGATATTGGACAATTCGACTTGAATTCTAATCTCTGAACACTTCCAATATGATCTTAGACTTCATAATAGAGCGCTGTACAGAGTATATAGTGATTGTATTCGGATACGAGGAACTGCAAAGTAACCCTTAAAATCCCTAGATAGCGTGATGAAACAGGGATATTAAGATATAATTACCGGATAAATGTAGAAATACGGGAGATAAATATAGAATAATCGAACAATCGAACAATCGAATTAATCCAAAAGACATAATCTCGCAGAATGATAACTCTTTCGGCCATCGGTGCTTCGCCTATGTAAGCGAAAGTAACCCCGGGGATGGGCTAAGCTCTTCTCCCCCCCACTTTTCATATCTTCCTCTCTCAATACCTACAGTACTATGAACGTGTGCTTTTTTTTAATGACAATTGGTGGCTGTGCTCGGGAAATGGATAGCTTAAGTGACCCCCGACCATGAGCACATCTGGAAATAAGGATTTCCGCGATCAGCTGGGAAAGTTCCGCTTGGATTCGATCAACACTACCCCGACCTGGCCTCAACCAACCCCGGTTCATCATGAGTCTATAGATGCCTCGCAAGCTCGCAGCAAACGAGTATCGACAGCCTGTGACTTTTGTCGCAAAAGGAAGAAGAAATGCGACTTTCGATACCCCAACTGTTCCGCCTGCACCCGCGCCGGAGTCCGATGCACCATACCCCCGCCCGGTCCTCAAGTCGCTAGCGCCTCCGTTCCCCGAGACCAGCTGGAAAATTTGCAGAAACGAGTACGATGGCTGGAGGAAGTTGTCCGCCGCAAGTCGGGCCTCTCGGTGTCGGAATTGCCGACGGGAACACCAGTCGATGGCGAGGGAGATCCGGATTGGTGGTATCAGGTCCCCGCTATGATTGCGACCGGGGGTAATCGTTCGACCTCAATGCCGAGCCCTGCCGGCAGTGGTGGTTCGTCCGCGACTGCAGGACCCTCGGAGGCATCGCCGGGAGTAGGGACCGAACTCCCCGACATCGGCGAGATCTTTCGCGATCAGCTGGAGCATCGCCGACCGTCAGTTGCCCGACCTTCCTCCGCGCCGCGAGTCATGCGCTTGTCGTCGCTGGACGAAGCGGAACGGCTAACGGGACAATATTTCGACAGTATTGGATACCAGTACCCGTTCCTGTCCCGTCCGGAGTTTATGGCCCATCTGCGCCATATCTACACAGGTGGTGTTCCATCGCCGGAAACCCATCACTCTTATCATATTGTCATTGCCATTTCGCTTCTGATTGGGTCTGCGGACCCGACCCAGGCAGCTGAATTTTACCATGCCAGCCAGGAGACGCTGCCACTGGCGTTGCAAAATGAAGACTTGCCGGCTGTACGGGCACTGCTGGGATTGGCCTTGTATACCATGTTTGCGACTGCTGGCCCCAGCATTTGGCATGTGTTGGGTGCGACAATGCGATTGTCGATTAGTATGGGTTTGCACAAAGCGCGGTCGTATCCTGGCATTGCCGAGGAGGAGATGGCCAAGCGCGCCTTCTGGAGTCTTTACAACCTGGACCGTCTCATCGCTAGCACCTTGGGTCGGCCATTGGGCATTGCCGACGACGATATTAGCGTGGGTCTTCTGCGAGAACTCAATGACGATGAAACCGAAGCGCCTGGCGCCAGCGCGATGACGATCCCCTTGCAGGTGATACGTCTGCGGCGAATATTTTCACGCATCTATCAATACTGTAAGTGAAGGCTTTGAGTCTCACCTGATTTTTGTATTCATCTGACCGTTTCGCTTGTAGTATATAGCAGCCTGCCACGACTGTCACCCCAAGAAGCCACCGCTACGCTCAGTCAATTCCGCCATGAGGTTGATGACTGGCGCATGACGGCTCCAGTATATCCATCCGCACTTCTCTATTCTACCTCTTATTACGATTATCTCTATTACACAACACTGCTCTTGATGTACCGCCCCAGCCCACGCAATCCGACGCCCGACATTACCAGTATCATCAGCTGTGGCGAATCCAGTATCCAAGTCATTCGATCCTATTGGGACAGCTACTCAGTTGGCAAGCTGAAATGGATCTGGTTAACTCTGAGTCAAGTTTATTTTGCTGGTATCACTATCCTGTGGTGCCTTGAGCAGAATGCGCGCTCATTACGCGAGTCTCAGCCTGCCCCCTGGCACCCTGAAGAACAGACCATGCGACGTGCTATTCAGGCGGTTGTCGTGCTCTTGGAAGAATTTGGCAAGCGTCGGCCTGGGGTGGACCGGTTAGCAGAGACATTCCGGCACCAGAGTACAGTGATCTTCAGCCAAATGGCCTATCAGCAGCAATTAGAACAGCAGCAACATCTCCATCACCCACAACATCACCCACAACCACCTCCGCCACCACGTGCACTCCTTCCACCTCATCCAATGTCTTTGGCCGCACCCCCTCCACCTCCAGTTCCACTTGCCCCAGTTCTCGACGACGTGTTACTCGTGGATGGCAGCGGGACTGTCCCAATGATCGACCCGCAGATGGCGGAACAACTCTTCTATTCCTACAATTGGTTCCAAGAGGAGATGGCATCATACTATACCCTTTGAACAAATCTCTTTATCTGTATTTAAACCGTGCTCTATTGGAGATAGACGGAGTTTTCCACCGGGCTAGGCTTTTTGCTTTCATGTTAATACTTTGAGAGGTGGTCACAAGTAAAAACAGGACAGACCCATCAGATTCAGCATCATTTCAATATCTGCAACATGATCTTTTATGTAGTTCATGGTCACCAGGCAGATATGAGAATGGATTGGTACATACAATTAACACTCCCACTCAACTGAAAGAAATAGACTCTTCAGATTTGAAGTATAGAAGGCTTATTCTTGGAATTCAGCTACAATAAAGAGCATCACAATAACGGGTTGTTGATGTTCAGGCTCCCACAGCACCTGGGCACCTGCTGCTGGGCACCTGCAGCATATCCCGATTATTAATTTCCCGCTCACCTCCATTTATCTCCATCTCCCTTTTATATTTTGCGGAATTACAGCTATCATAATAGAACCACTGGCCATCGTTTCTTTGTTTTGTATATCATGGAAGAACTCGACAAGAACGCCACCCCGGTCTCTGGGCTGCCCCTCGGCTTTCATGGCACGGTAATCCATTCCCGAAGTTTGGATGACCTCGAGATCCTGGAGAATTGCATTGTGATTGTGGGAACAGATGGCAAGATTCAGGCGCTACAAGCAGATGTGGAATCGGATCAGATCAACTCCATTGTCTCGGAAAATGGTTATGTGCCGGACGTTTTCCCAGTGAAATATCTCAAGCGCGGGGAATTTCTGTGCCCCGGCTTTGTTGATACTCACAATCATGCACCCCAGTGGGCACAGCGTGGTGTTGGAAGAGGGATTTCCTTGCTCGACTGGTTGGATAAGGTCACTTTTGCCCACGAGGCCAAGTTCCAAGATCCGGAATATGCCAAACGCATGTACGCCTCTTGCGTGACGGGCTTTTTACAACAGGGCATCACCACCGCATCATATTACGGCTCGCATCATGGGCAGGCAACTCGCATTCTGGCTGATGTCTGCTTTGAAAAAGGACAGCGCGCTCTGGTGGGCAAGTGTAACATGAACCGGAATGCCCCGGACTGGTATCGGGATCCGTCGGTGTCCGACTCACTACGCGAAACGCGTGAGCTCATCCACCATGTCCAGAAACTTGATCCGGAATACCGTCTGGTGAAACCAATACTGACGCCACGCTTTGCGATATGTTGTGAGCCGGAATTACTGGATGGGCTTGGTGCCATCGCCCGTGAGCATCCCAATCTCCCAATACAGACCCATTTCAATGAAGCAAAGCAGGAGATCGAGTCCACGCATCAGCTCTTTCCAGAATTTGATACGGAAGCTGATCTCTATCAGCGATATGGTTTGTTGAATGATCGATCCATCCTTGCCCACTGTATCTTTTTACAGGAAGGAGAGATGCGTCGCATCCAGGAACTTGGCTGTGGGGTTGCCCATTGCCCAATCGCCAACACCACCATGCAAGATTTTATGGTAGCACCTGTGCGAGAGTATCTGCGCCGCGGTATCAAGGTGGGCCTCGGAACTGATAGTGGTGGTGGCTACTCGTCATCCATACTGGATGCCATGAAACAGGCTTTCATTGTATCGAATGCGCAGCAGATGTTGACCCAAGGACGGGACCCTGCCCTTTCTTTGTGCGAGGGCTTCTTTCTCGCCACTCTAGGTGGTGCGCAAGTGTGTGGTCTCGATGACCGGGTTGGTAACTTTGCAGTTGGCAAAAAGTTTGATGCGCTCGAAGTCCATACCAATCTTGGCCAAGCAGGAGTCATGAGCCCAGTCGAAGATGAAGATACCCTCCAGGTGATATTCGAGAAGTTTCTGATGACTGGGGATGATCGGAATATTGTCAAAGTCTATGTGAGCGGTCGGTCGGTCAAGCTTTGATGGTCAGTCTTAATTTATGTGCAATGAGAAATGAGATATGATATAGTGATGAGGTACAATGTAAGAATAAACACCAACCCCCCGTAGCCCATTCCGTAGGGGTATCCAAAAGATCATTTTCGACTCCTGTATACCCAGGATATTGTATATTAAAAGTAAGAGATGCAAAGTGCACCCAAGAAACAGTGATTACGGCAATATATGGAGATAGGAAAGAGGCCAAGATGAAGTTGTGGTCGAGCGTTGCTGATCACTCCCAAGTTCCCTTCGGGGGCCCAAAGTAGCCACGCGCTGGTAACTCCAGGTAGGGCGTGCCTCTGCCGTCGGCTGTTGTTTTCGACACGATATTTCCCCACCAACTCAACGAACCGGCCGGGAGAGTTATGCAAAAGAAGATGATTACCGTCGCGACCGCAACGCCGCAGTCTAGCGCGGCGGATAACACATAATCTGCGGGCAGTCAGCAAAAGAAGCAACGATGAAGGAGAAACGATAAACACACTGTATTTCGACCACCACGCGGGTTTGCGGCGACGGAGTACGCCATTGAATATCAAGTTGACTATCCACCACGATGAGAAGCTGATACCTGTAGCGGGCGGAACAAGACTCATTGCACCGAAAGCGACAGGCCACGAGATGTAATTGACAGCTTTCCAACGACGACCTAGAAGATAGGTAATGACTACCGCCGCTGGTCCGACCAGGAAAAACCAAAGCAAATTGCTATATATCTGCCCCGAAGAAAACAATCGGCCTGGACCAACAGCACCTGAAGGTTGATTAGCTTTGTGACCTGGCAGAACATCGGCAATAATATGGAAGCTCACCCCAAATGAGAGACGAAGAGTACGTGACTTTTCCATGAGGGCAGATGAAATTCCCCTCGGCCTCGGGGGTGCACACACCATCAATTCTGGTAATCATGAACACGGTCACACCACATTGAACGATAGCCCCGATGAGTGTGGCAAGGCCTTGAGCTACAAACAGAAGCCGTGGGGCGATGTGCATATAATGAGCCAACTTCATATCGGCGACAAATCTAATATGGTGTATCGTGTTAACTCGGGTTGATTCTTTTCTGGGACAGTATGTCACTCACTCGAGTCCTTGCTGGACGGCGACATAACCATAGAACTTGAAAGTCATGTTGGCCACTGGCTGCCCGAGGAAGGCATACCCGCCAATGAATTCCGTGAGTAGGTTGAGTTGGTTACTGCTGATATTTGTGAGGGCTTGGATGACCCCAACAGGAATAAAGTAGACCGCTGGTAACACGAATGCCACAAGCACACCCCATGCCGGTAGACCCGTATGCCACACCTCGTTGGTTACAATGCTCAACACGAACATCAGGACAGTAACTGCGGCAAACCACCACCAGGGTACGGGTCGATATGAAGACATCAGTCGACTATGGACGTCTTGTTTGCTGGTCCCTTTCCATTGTTGCCACAAGTCTTTCCCATGATACAACGCGATGTGGAAGAAGATGCCCGTCAAGTTAGCAAAGGCAACACCGAATGTGATTGCAAAGCCAGCCGGTAAAAACATGGGCGAATAGTCCCGATAAGCAGTTTCGTCGATACTCCCACCCGAGCCCATGATACGACTGGTGTTATAAGGCATTCCAGTATTATCGAAGGTATCGGAGTTGAGCAGCGGCAGGTGTGCGGAATACCAGGTGTTGGTGTAGTAAACGAGCGGGCACACAAGCCAAAAGAAGAGCGCAAATGATCCCATCACATTAAGGCCAGCCCAAAAGGGAACAAGTAGGGGGCTCTGATTGGCGTAGACAACCTGGGCCCAGTCGAAGGTCAATACCGACATCCCCAGTCCGGTGGTTTGTCCAAAGAGCTGGTTCACCACCACGTTGGATGGCACGATCCAGCAGATGAAGGCGAATGTGCTGAGACCCGTAAAAAGATATCCCGGGACGGAGTACCAGATGGCCCCACCGATGAAAACATAAAGAAAAAAGCGGAGACGTGTGATTTGCCAGCCATCTGCGATAAGATTGGAGCGAGAATGGAGAGTGGTCAATAGTGCTGCGTTTGACAACACCTGCGGCCAAAGCATCGATGCCGGGCCGACTAGCCAGCGCGAGGCCATGCCAGCTAAGCCGAAGCCAAACAATTGGGTGGTAATACACAATAAGACTTCAAATCCACCCTGCGATGGCATGTTATAGAACTTGACAAGTGCTTCGATAACTTGGGTGGCAGCAGCAGACCCAATAGAGACGTTCGCCATGATTGTGATCAAGGCATGCTCCTTGATATTGAAATGCCGGTCGGGATTCAGCAGTCCGAGAGGAATCCATTTCGCCCAGGCACATCCTAGCGGGAAAGCTAGCAATTGTGCCACTAGAGCACTGATTTTCACACTGGGCTGTCGTAAGCTGAAGAACTGGTTCAGTCCACTACCGACCTGTGCTGGCGGTTAGTATTATCTTGCCGATCGCCCGGTCGCATAAAGCCATAAGACATACGATGGTGAACACAATACCAATGGTCCACATGCGGACTGTATTAACAGGCAGCGTCAAGTCATTGACTGGCTGGATGACAGCCCGCACCTCGGGGAAAGGCGAATCATCGGCTTCATAGGGTAAGATCTTCTCGGCATCCCGATCGTGAAGAACGGAAATTCCATGTTGATCCGAGAGGGTGTTCTGAGATGTGAAACAGTTAATTTAGCACAACATACGGAGTAGATATGTGGGACATCTGGAGAGAACTGAAAAACGGGCCACCCACCTGGTTCTTCGCTCCCTCCATCATCAACCCGGTCTGCAGGAGCCCCTAGCAGTAAGGGATGGAACACAGCTAACCCTAGTTTAGTGTTGGGTCGGCTTGAGCCGAATGGGTAAACCAACTAGGTAGGGATGGCTGCATGAAGTGTCTCCAGATATGGAGTACTCCATACAGGGATGTCCGCGAGCTAACAAAATGGCCAATAAAGAAAGGGAAATCTATCACATCACTTCCCCGGATTGCGTTCTCTTGGATAGGATTGGGTAGACAGGGGTTAAAATGGATATCCAACGTCGAAGGAAAGGGAAAGAAATTGACGAGAAGGATTGCAACGTCGGAAGAAACCGTTATCGACCCACTTTATTATTGCCGGAGTAAGATATAGCTTCGGATTTGTGTTATAACTATTAGATTAATGGAATTAATTGATTGAAATCGAAATTAATCTTTAGATTTCCTGTAAAAATGTCATGTTGAAGGCTTAAAAGCTCCAAACATTGTTGATCCCCCCTTTTTTCTTATTCAAAGATATAAATTTACTACATATATTTACTATTAAGCCACCCCTAACTTCTGCGAAGGACCTCGGGAAACCCTGGTGCTCTCATAATGGGTGAATGTGAATCTAATACTAATGATGTGCCCTTTTCTCAAAGGCCCATTGTCATCCTCGGTGCAGGGATCATTGGTTGTGCGACTGCTCGGCAATTGCTGCTGAATGGATTCCCCGTGGTATTGGTGGCTGAATATCTACCGGGAGATCAAAATATTTACTATGCATCGGCTTGGGCAGGAGCAGCGTGGCATGCTGCTGGGGGTATCACTCCTGATCAACGGTACCTTCAAGCTGTCACACATCGTGTGCTACTCAAGATGGCACAGGATGGCCCAGAGGCAGGGGTGAGCATTGTCAACGTACGAGAATATCTCGAACAAAAACCTGCCCCTGACTCGGCGATATGGGGTAAGACGGTCGTCTCCAAGGTACTTTGGACTCCATGTGATCATTGATCGATATTAACATTCTATGATTTCAGTTCCGTGAGATGAAACCTGGTGAATACCCTCCCAATTTCAACTGTGCCTGGGCCTATGAAACGCTTGTCACAGACCCCACGAGGCATATGCCTTATATTAGGAACCTAGTTGAGTTTCTTGGGGGTCGCTTTATCCGCCAACGTGTCGAATCCCTCCAGGAGCTATATGACATGTTCCCCGAATCACGGGTCTTCATAAATGCAAGCGGTTGGGGCAGTAAAACCCTGACGGATGTGCAAGATGATAACTGTTTTCCGGAGCGAGGGCAGAATGTGTTTCTGGCCACTGATCAATGCGACACACTCCACTTCCGAAATGGCAAAGAATATACCTATGTGATTCCTCGGCCTCTATCCAAGGGAGTGGTCCTTGGTGGGGTGAGGCAACAGGACAATCTGTATGAAAATTCCCAAAGGTATCTCCAAGCTCGTAACTCTTAGAGCTAACCTATCCAGGTCATCTGAAGTCGATATGGATATTGCGAGGGATGAGATTGCGCGCGCGCATCAGTTAGCTCCTGAAATTGTTCCGGAACACCCTGCTGCTGAGAAGGTGAGTTACATTATCGGAATCCGACCATCTCGAAAAGGAGGTTTCCGTCTCGACTCGGAGCGAAAGGGTCATCGGGTGGTGTTGTCCGCCTATGGGTTTGGTGGTGGTGGCTATTCGTTTTCATATGGGATTGCCGATGCCGTGGCCAAGATGGTGGAGAGGGTCGAGCGCGAAAATGTGATTTTGTAGATTGTGTACTACAGTTGGGATTAAAACTGCCATGAATAGATACGATATGTATACCTGCATAGTGAAACAGAGCATTACACATACGTAGACATTGCATTAAGTAGTTAACGAGACCGTGGCCGTTTTCGGCAACTTCCCCGGTCAGGTTTAGCGCTGCTGTCTCAATGCGGTTTGGTGTCTACCAGATTAGGTTTAGCCTAATACGCTATACCATGAGGGGAACTGCCGTCTCCGCCTTCACATCGTGCGTATGTTGTTTGAACTTGAGCGCATCGGCACCGGATTGTCGTCATCGTCAGTTTCTTCTCTCTCCAATATTCTTCCTGTATCTATCAACCTCGCCATGTCAAATGGTAGGTTTTGCCTGAAGCCCTTTCTCAGAATATACGCAGCCTTCGCAAGATCTTCATAATAATTGCCACTACCCGAAGTCTGTCTCGATCAGAGCCAGTCCTTCAGAGT